TATATATATATATAAATATATATTATTTACTTCCATAATAAGAAAACTTAAGGAATTTATTTTAAATTTAGGGAATTCAAAATAAACACAAAAAGAAAAATAATTTTAATAATAATAATTAATATTGAAGGTGGTGGGAAGAAAAAGGAAAAGACATAAGATTATATAAAAGTCAAAATCGGGAAAATCCAATTCCATTAATACTTAATCCCAAAAATAAATGTCGGAACCAATGGCATTTAAGCGTCCGTTAAAACTCCCGTTACGGCGTTCCGTCCCGCTGCATGTCCTAACCAAACGGCAAACGGAATTGGGTCACTCCGCCGTCCACCCCCATTTATTGCTACCATAATCCCACCACCCCCATTGCATGCCCCTTTTCCACCCCCACCCCCCACCCCTAACCCCCCCGCCGCTCTCTTGATTCTTGGTTTAAATTTTTTTGCAGAAAAAAAATATAGGAATTTTTTTTTTCTACAGGATGGGGAGGAGTGGGGTTGCGGCGGCGTTGTACAAGGTTTCTGCATGGGTGCGGCGGCGGCCGACGAAAGTGAAGGCATTTATGGCGGCGGCGTTTGGGCTGTGCGCGCTGGTGGCGCTGAAAATGATGGTTAAGGATCACAGCCACTTCTTTATCGCCTCCGAAGCGATTCACTTTGTTGGGATTTTGGTTCTGATTTATAAGCTCAACACTCTTAAAACTTGCTCCGGTAATCATCATTCATTAATTTTTTTTTGTTTTTTTTTTCTTACATCTTTTTCGGGTTAATCTATACTGTTCTTATTTTTTTTTTTTTTATTTATTTCTTTTTATTGAGTGATGGATATATTTTGGATAAAGTTATGAGATCTTTGACTGAAAATTATGTGCTTGTGTTTTTTTTTTTTATAAATTATTGGATTGGTTTTTCATGTGAAAATTGATTTTATTTATTTATTATTTTTCTATTGTTATTATTTATTTATTAATTAATTAATGTGTTCTTTTTTATGTTTTTGTGAATTAGGAATAGCAAGACAGATATGATTTTGTTGGCAGATAAAAGTTTGAGTCTAGCAAATTTTAGTTTTTAGCAATACCATTTCCCATTGATTTGGTTGAATGATTCTCGAAAGACGTCGATTTAGACACCACGCTATTTTTTTCGATTTTATTGAAATTAAGAATGTCATACTTGAAGATGAATGCAAATTGAAGACTATATTCAAGATAACTAGAATTCCGACAAGAATATATGTAGTCTGAAAGATTTATCGTCTTTTCGTAAACTCGATGAAACTCACCATTGAGATTTCAATATTAAATATTTATAGGGCGGTCCATTTGGATTCGAATGGAAGAATTTTGAGCGAAACGTTTCAAATCCATTGAGCTTGTTTAGATTGATTCATTCGATAATGTATTTCAAATCCAATATATCTCGACTGGATTGATTTATTTATTATTTATTTTTTTTGTCCTTAAAGAACATTAATATATATCCACTTTTACATTTTACTGGTTTATAGGGCTCTCGTTGAAGACTCAAGACCTTACGGCGATATTCTTGACAGCAAGATTGTTCTGTAGTTTTTCCATGGAAAACGACATCCACACTTTTCTCGATTTCGCGACGCTCGCGTCGACATTGTGGGTCATATACATGATGCGTTTCAAGTTGAAGTCAACCTACATTGCGGAGCTCGACAACACTCCCTTGTATTATGTGGTAATGTTGATATAATCATATAATTTATATACATATATATGTTGTTACTTATTTCTTTTCGTCTAATTAGTTTTTCTTTCACAAATAATGTCCTCGTAAAAATCTAAGGTCTTTTTACGAAGTTCGACTAGTTACTATGATCCTTTCTCGAATAATTTTTGTAGGATAACTATGAGTAGATTAAATATCAAAATATCATCAATTCCTAACAAATAACAATATTTATATTTATTTACTTCCTTTTTTTTTTTTTTTTTTAATATATATAGGTGGTGCCTCCTGCTATTATAGCGATATTCATCCATCCATATACACACCATGCACGTGCAGCCCGTGTTCTTTGGGCATTTGCCGTGTATTTGGAATCCGTTTCGGTATTGCCGCAGCTAAGGATGATGCAGAAAACTAAGGTGAATGATAAATAATTCCAATTTGTCTATTTCTATTTTAACTTCCACCAAACTATATATTTATATATACTCAACTTCATTGCAGATGATCGAACCGTTTACGGCCCACTACGTATTCGCACTTGGCGTTGCAAGATTTTTGGGATGTGCTCACTGGATCATTCAGGTAATCATTTTTGGACTATCGATTTTTTTTATAAGCTGTAGGGGGCCACGGGCCCCGTGACCCTATGGTGGGTCCCACCATTGGAATCTAATCCCGCAATTTGAACTATTATATGCAGGTTTACGATTCTGCTGGAAAGTACTTGTTTCTTGTTGGAGCGGGCTATGTTTGGCTTCCAATGGTTATATTGGCAGAAATTGTTCAAACATTCATATTAGCCGACTTTTGTTACTATTATGTCAAGGGGTAAGCCCTCGGAATTTTCCGACCAAATTCTCGAAATTTTTTTCCGTGTTATAAGTTATATAGCAACTAATGAATCTACCTTTTGTATCTCTATCTACTTGATTTTTGCAGAGTCATGAGTGGTCAACTTATAGTCAGCCTGCCTTCACATGTTTGAAGATTTTGAGTACGAAAAAGGAAACTATTATTTACCATGCGCTCGTTCTGGAATTTTTCATGAATGAATACTTGAATGTAGTTTTCGACATTTTTTTTTCATTTTTTTTTCATTTCAACTCTATGTTGTCATTATGTACTTGCCGAAAAATTAGGATCTATTACGATAAATTCCATATATGTTGAGCAAAACAACTTTTGATGTGAGAGGGTGTTTAAATTGAAGAGGTTTATAATTTTATATGGTGCTACACCGGGTGAAATATCTAGTTTAGTAGTTTTTTGGGTTGTTTCAAAAATCACCCATGTGTAATCTCGAATGGCTGAAAAAACCTTCGTATTAAAAGAAATAGGAAAAACCACCGTATGAAACTTAGTCGAATACAATAAGGACCTTGACACCTTATCACAACCGGGGATTTTGCGCATGGGTGTGTATTTTTGACTCCTTTCAATTATAAATTTCAGAAATTACAGATTCACCCCAAAAAAATTAATCCCCAAAATGAAGTTTTTCAAAATTCTCAATTCAGTTCTTAGCACTTCCAGAAAAGCCATCTTCCCGAAATTAACCCTAATATTTTTATCTTCTGGAGATGTAAATACCACAAGTCACTTCTTTCATTGACATTGAACTCTGTAACACTATTCGTACATGGACAACTTCAACACGAACGATCATAAAGAGAGTAGCCATGAAAACCAAACAAAAAAGGGATTTGAAAACTTGAACACGAAATTACAAAAAAAATGCAATTAAATTTGAAGTTTCCTTCAGAACCGCCACCTCCATGGGAAGAGTAGCCACGGTCACCACCGTAACTGTCTCTGCTCAGTGGTGGGTCTAGGAATTTGGTACAAGGTGAAGTTAAATTTTCAGGGGTGTGGGGGCAGCGCCCCTGAAAAAAATTTAGGATTTTTTTTGTGACAAAATCAGAAAATAGGAAAATGAAAAGGAAAAAAATATATAGAGTTTTTTTGCATTAATTTGTATTTTAGGTGGTCTAATTAATAATATTTGGGGCTTCTTTTGCATTAATTTTAATTTTTAGAGGGCTAATTAATAAAATTTGGATGAGCTTAATAGATATATAAGTATAATAAAAGGGAATATTTATAAATTGAGAGTGAGCTTGAGTTCACCCTGCCAAAGGGGTGGACTCACCCCTACCTCCAGCACGGACGTCGCCATAACCACATCGCTACGACGTCCATATCCATGACCGCCGTCGAAGACAATTTCAGTTACTCGTAGACTGTGGCTCTCCGTCGTGTGCGGCTGTGGACTTACCATTTAAGGTCTTCGATAAAGAGTTGTTTGGTTTTAGGTTTTGGGTGGGGGTGTGTGTAGAAGATGACGCTCTCTCCTATTTCTTTTTTTTTCTTAATTTTCTTTTCTGGAATTTTATTTTTAATTTTTAAATTTGGTTGAATAATTTATTTTATTTTTAAATAAGGGTAACTTTGTCATTTTATTAAGTCAAACGCAAAAAACAAAGAGCAAATGGCAAAGAGGGACATGACAAGGGACTTAAATGCACATTGGTCCACACAAAAAAAACTCATTCAAATAAACTCATCCCACGTCTTTAGTCTAAAATACCCTCTATAATATAAATTTAATTAATTTCATCCATTATACTTTAACTTTCTCAATATCACACATTGACCTCGAAATTAAACAAATATATCACATTAACCCTCATTTTAATATTTTTTTTGGAAAACAATTTTTTTTTTCAGAAAATAATTTTTTTCAGAAATTCGTTTTTCCGGCCAGATTCCGGCGTTGACCGGGCGGTTCTCCGGCCTTGACTTTTTTTTTTTGAAACATTTTTTTTCTGGCCGGTCAACCGTCGGTTTCCGGGGTTGACTTTTTTTTTTCTAAAAAAAAATATTTTAATTAATATTACTGTCTTGGGTACTAAATACTGTCTCATACAGTAATATTACTGTTTGTGACAGTATTATTATGAATATTACTTTTCCGAACAGTAATATTACTAATATTACTATCCCAAACAGTAATATTATTCCATGAGACAGTAATATGACGGTCGGAGACAGTAATATTACGGGCGAAGACGGCAAAATTGCAGGCCTATATGAGAAAAGTAAATAATACAGTAAAATTACTGTCTCATATAGTTAAATTACTGTTTAAGACAGTTAAGTTACTTTTAAATACAGTAATTTAGCAATCAAGACAGTAATATTCATTTATTAAAAAAAAACTAATATTAATTAAAATAAGTTTTTTTAAGAAAAAAAAAATTCAATTAACAGTTAAATTACTAGTGGAGAAGTAATTTAGCAGTCAAGACAGTAATATTAATTAAAATAATTTTATTTAAGAAAAAACAAAATTTAAAAAAAAAAAAGTCAGTTAATATTTAAATTACTGTCTCTACAGTTAAATTACTGCTGGAGACAGTAATTTAGCAGCCAAGACAATAATATTAATTAAAATATTTTTTTTAAGAAAAAAAAAAAGTCAAAGCCGGAGACCCGGCGGTCAACAACGGTTGACCTACCGAAAAAAAAAGTTTTTGAAAAAAAAAAACAAAGTGGCTCGCTATTTTTGGCCCAACCCTTTGCCAGTTTCCCTTGGGTTGGGAGGTTAAGAAGTCGAAAGCTTAGCCCAAATAGAGTAGGCCCAAGTTGGCCCAGGTGTATATAGAGATGTGTAGAGAATCTTCGAGGATTCTCGAAAACTTTCTAGAACCCTCCATTTGTAGATATTTTGTAGGAATACTTTGGAGTGTTCTAGTGAACAACTCCTAGCCGTTAGATCAAATAGATCTCCACCGTCCATTAAGGAGGTGGGCTAGTATAAATAGGAATAGAGATTTCATTTGTAATCATCCAGTAAATTCAGGACATTCAAGCAATACAAGTACTTCCTACAAACTCTGTTTGTTGTTTATAATTAAATTAGCTCGATCAACATGGCTCAGTGACGTTTGAATCTTTTTAAAAATTCGGTGAACATGTTAGAGCATCAATTTATTGCTGAAAGTTTTGGAACACTTGTCTGTGAACCAGATGTTCAGATTCAAAGCAGTTTCAAGTTTTTGGAAAAAAAACTATTACAGGTCTTTCTCATTGGGTTGTGATGGTGGTGGGACTGGTGGCGGAGTGGCGGAGTGGAGGAAGAGGATGGGCCATGGATGGCAAGTCTGAATGATTACAAATATTTTACTATTCATTACTCTGGCTCCATCGACCTTACACCCGGTGATAAACATCCGATGGGTGTTTTTTTTCTTGTTTTTCTAAGACCCCTAAATCTTAGTAGGGAAATATATTATAAAATACAAAAAATGACACATGGCAGCAGAAGATTCACCCAGTATTTATTACCGGTTGTAGGATCGAAGAAGTCTATTACTACTAATTCATTAATACACATTTTAATCGACCTTGGAGTTGACAACAATATGCCAATTGCCAAATGATTATTTAGGTTAAATTCTAAATCAAATAATTTTATATTATAATAATAAGGGTAAATTATAACTACCACTGAGATATGGTCAAACTACAAAAACACCCTTCTTGTTTGGGTAATTACAACCGTCCCCTCAACCATAAGTTTTCTTACATGTTCACCATTATGGTTTCAAATTTAGTGGAATATTCTAGATTGTATAGAATATTCTCAAGTTTGTCTCGTTTTATCCCATTCGAGCTCCACATTTTGAAGCAAGATGATCATAAGATGTGTTTTTTGGATTGTATATATCAAATTGTAGTGCATTAGAAACTATATTTTTGTACAAAACGTGTACAAACTAGAGCACATTCAATGGAATCTAGATGATTTGTGGAATTTGACACCATAAGGGTGGAGGTGTAAGAAGATTCACAATATAGGGGTAGATGTAATTATCCAAACACTAGGAGTTTTTTCGTAATTTGACCATACCACAAGGGGTGATTGTAGTAGTAGTTTTAATAATAATAATATATATATATATATATATATATATATATATATATATATATATATATATATATATATATATATATATATATATATATATATATATATATATATATATATATATATATATATATATATGTCAATAATAAACTTTAGGCTATAAATTATTAAGATGGTTATCTATCTATATAATAAGAGTTAATTGCATACACCCCATGCGAAAAGTCTAATTACCGAAAGAGTTCACGTATTAAAAAAATTATCATACAAGTGAAATTGGTTTTTGTTTCAGGAAAAATAAATACTCAGTCTTTCCTATTTTATTTGTCATTTCTTGAACGTGTACTAAAAAAATTACTAAATGTGTATGGATTCTAGAAAAAAAATTATAATAAATGCGACTAAAATACACTTTCGGCGCCGTAATTTTATGTAATAGATGTACATATAAATACACGTATTATATAAGCGTGTGTAAAAGTTGATTGTTGGCAATACACGAGTATGATAAGATTATATTTGGTGAAGTAGACCAGGTGTAAGTTCAAATAAACCATCGTATGGGTCGAAATTAGTTGTACCGATACAATTTTGAAATTTAAAAATTAGGAAAATCTCTTCCGAAAATCCAAATACTATTCCATCTAAAATGTACAAAAGTAAAAATATTAATACTATAGATCTCCCCATGAGTAGTAAAGTTATGGTATTATAATTAAAAATAAAATAAAATCAAGTGCTCTACTAGAAGATTCTAGATTGTTATTGAATACAATCAAACAAATAGAGATCAAAATTAGCAATGACGTGTGGCTTAGTTGCGCCAGCCAAGTATTGTGTGCTACCGTCACAGAGCTGACATGGCGGCTGGCTGCCTATATCCATATAAACATCCACGTGTACTACAACTTTGCCACATAAGGTGGGGTTTTATCCTGTGCTTCTCAGCCTCGTGCTCTCACCAATGGTATTCTTCCACGTTACATTTCAGATCAAAGCTAGCCATCAAAAACGTATGACGTGTGGCTCTACCATTTGATCTCGTCTGCTTTGTACTTTGTAGTAAGATAAATAAAACAACACTTGTAGGGTAATTAATTAATAACTAGCATCCACGTGGCCTATTTTGGCAAGCCAAGTATACTATGCGCCCACCTTTGCAGGCAGCTGACATGGCACTATATTCCATGTAACGTCAATGCCCATTGTCCACGTATCCTCCTATTTTGCCAGGTAAGATGACCTCTCATCCATTGATTATCCACTTTGTTCATAGTAAACAAAGTGAGTTAGGTTGGGTGATTATCGCTATTAAACTAACCCAACTCGGCCAATCGACTTTGATAAATATTGAAAACAATCATCGACCCAACTTAGATGGGTTGACTGTTGGTTAACACCCAAGTTTATAGGTCGATTGATGGATTGATTGATGGGTCATTCATTTATCTGAAAAAAGGAAAAAGAATATAGGAGACCAACAGGTTTTAAATTTCAAACCATTTTCTTCGATTCTAACAAAATTAAATCCAGATTTGGTATTTATGATGATTTGTAAAAGAATTAAATAATATACATAATAATAACTCACCCGAAATCCAGCTAAGATAAACTCGGGCCCCACTAAAACCAATCGCCCGCAATTATGTGTCGCAATCAATTTACCGCCACGTGTGGCCCGCTGCGGAACAGAACTGACAAAGGCCTGGCCCGAATCCGAAAGGGCAACATCAAATATTCTCCCCCCTCCCACGTGTCCCCGTCCGCCAAATTGCGCGCCAAACCAGATCCTCTTCCATACCAACACGTGTCGCGATCTCGTGGCTCCTAAGCAGGTGCCGCCCCCATCCCTCCTTACGTGGCAGCGGGAGTCCATGTAGGGCCCACCCTCATCCTAAATTAAAAAGCGGGAGATTAGCGGCCACTAATAAGGGGATTTAGGCAATTGCAAAATTCCGTACTTAACTCTAAACACCCCCGTTCTCTTCGGCGCTGCCCGTCTCTCCACGTGGCGAAAGCCCACCTCCCCTACGTACGCCCACTCTCTCTCTCTCGTCTGTCTTTAATTTTTGTTTTTCCCAAACGTTTTTTCAAACCTAGTCCACCCGTATAAATTCACTTTTCGGGGTGGGAAAATTCATCACTCAACTTCATTCAATCCCCCTTTATTCTGAGGGAGAGAGAGAAAGTTATATATATAGAGAGAGAGAGAGAGAGAGAGAGAGAATTTATCACTCAACTTCATTCAATCCCCAAATCTAAAAACATAGAACTTCCTTCAATCCCCTTATTTAGAGAGAGAGAGAGAGAGAGAGAGAGAGAGAGAGAGAGAGAGAGAGAGAGAGAGAGAGAGAGAGAGAGAGAATTTTGAAAAAGGGGGGAAAAATGGGGAAAGTGTGTGCAACAATGGAGGGTATGAAAATACCTAGGGAAGAAGACAAAAAAGGCGACGGACTCGAGCTGAGTTTGGAGTTGTCCATAGGCGGTGGCCGGTACGGAAAATCGGAGAATTCTCCAATGGCCAAAACACGCGACCCGATTTCGAGATCCGGGTTCTCATTCGGGTGCGGGTCGGGGGATCCGCATAGGAGGAGGGAGATTCAGGCAGCGAAGAGGCAGGAGGCGCGCCACAAGAGGGAGGAGAAGCTGAAGAAATCGTCAATGGCGGATGATGGTAACAGGCTGTGTTTGGAGGCGCGGAGATCCCAATCCAGGGTTCGGGACAGGGAAGCTAGAGAGAGAGAGGGTTTCTCGGAGGAGAGAGAGAGGAACAAGACCGCGGCGAATGGGCTGAGCCTGTCCCTGGGCACCGAGAACAATAAAATGGAAATGGTGGGAAGGGGCTGTTTGTTTCCAAATCCTGCCCCCGGGAATGGATTCGCTTATCCCTACGGCATTCCGTCTTTGGGGCTAAGTGTCGGGGGAGGAGAGAGAAACGATGGGAATAATGCGGTCCGTTCCGTTTCTTGTAGGAATCGGAATCGGAATTTGTCGCTAGATTGTGATTCCGAGTATAGTAATAATGGGCTAGATGATATTGGAAGCTGGAATTTAGCGGTGCCAAACAGGTCCTTGGTTGAACAAGGTTCTTCCGCTGTTTCTGATTATCCCACAACTTCCCACAAAGGTATTAATTTTGTCCCGTGTGTGTCTTTTTTTGTGCGTGTTTTTTTTTTCCGCTCGTTGTTTGGGTTGCCCTTTCTTGTTGATGATGCTAAGTAAAATTTCTAACTGAATGCTGCTTCATATTTCATCACAATGAAAAACTATTTCGAATCGGATATCGTTTTATTTATCTTGAACTTTTTTATGAACTTGTTCAAATAATGGGATTTTATTGGCATTTTTTTTGCCAGCGCACATGTATTAAGAAAACAAATAGATGTGTATGGATTTTGAGAATTTTTAAATCAAATGACTAAAATATCCCTCTCCTTTTAATTTGAAATATAATAAGAAAACTTTCAAATCCACAAATATTATGGCAAGCACCATTCCCATCTTTTTTATTTTGATTTGATCTTTGCTACATTGGATTAACATTATATATCTAAAGCCTAGAAAATTTTTCGATGCAATGCATCCTAAGAATGACAAGGCGCATTTTCAGGTGGGAGTAGCAGCGAAACTGGAAGCCACTCCAGCCCGTATATTTACCGAAATGCCCTGAATCATGCCAAGGCCAAAAGCAACGACTCATCCACTCAGGCAAAGCTAGAAAAGTTGTTAAAATCGGAACAAACCAATAACACATGCTCCCCATATGATCTGAACCAAGCATCTTCTTCTATGATGAAAGAGACAGGTGTCAGTCCTATCGAAAAACATCCTAGTCCACCGAACAACAACAATAGCCTTAACCTAAACCTCAATGCATCTCCGGGCCTGCGTAATATGCCGTGTGTCTCGGCCACAGGAAACGGTCCCCACGGTAGAACGGTAACGGGATTCTTGTATAAGTATAATCAAACGGAGGTCATTATAATGTGTGTTTGCCACCGGAGCTTGTTTTCTCCGGCGGAGTTTGTGGAGCATGCTGGCGGTGTTGATGTGTTGAACCCGTTGAGGCACATTACCATGATAGCGCACCCTTGAAAATGAGTTATTTTCTTTTTCTTTTAGAGACTAGTAGTTATGTAGTTGTGTTGGGCAATATAATTTCCAGTGAAAGAATGTACTTTAGGGTAATAGGAATTAGAGAGACCCAAAAAATCACGATCTCATGTTTTTGTTTTTGTCGATATGAGATTGTGGTGGCGTTTGCAAAAGCTTTTGAAAAAGAGATTAGAAGTTTTTTTCTTTTTCCTCCGGTGTGATTTGGAGTGACTCCAAATGTAGTTTTTACTTTTGTTTCTTTTAAAATAATTAGTTTATATGTATATATATATATATGGAATTTTTTCCTTACAGATAGCACATGCTAATATTCTTCAAAGAGTGAGCTACTACACTATGTGTACATTCTGAATTTTAGGTCATCTAACAAATTTATCCATTCATCGCTGAAGATATTGAACGACAGTATGATTTGCAAATAAATTAGCTACTCCTATTTATATAACTCCACCTCGTCAATAAACTGTGGTGATCATCTTAATCTAATGGTTAGGAGACACCAGCTAGAGCATTCTATGATTTCTTAACAAATATATACAAAGTAGTATTCTAGGATATCTTCTAAAATCATCTAAGAATTTCTGCAAATCTACAATTGGCCTTAAATTGGTCATCTTCTATTGGGTTTGCTTGTTGGATGGATTATACTAAGCCTTCTTGGATCCATGGAAAATGGATGGCCGATGACATTTGACGGTGTAGGATCTACACCCTCAAGACCTCCTTCCAAGCCCAACTTCCTTGACCAAAAAAATCCATTGAACGCCAATCTTTCGCTTGTGAAGATCAATTCGATGAACGGGAACATAGATATAAAGAGACGCAAAGAGTTTGAAAAAGAGTATGTGTTATTGATGTTAAACATCATGACCCTAACAGGGTCTTTACATTTACTTATATAGAGAGTTTATAAAATATTTTCTAATTTAGAATCCATTTATTCGTCTGATTACATTGATTATTCAATTACTCATCTTTAATTTACATGTTTTCATTATCTATTTAGAAAAAAAGTATTTCCGTGTCTTCTACTCATAACGGCTCTTTTTCAGATCGCTAACTACTCCCTCCATCGCTTGTTGCATGTTTGGATGAGTTGGCGATCTCGATAACCGCATATCGTAGGGACATAGTTTAACGAGCTAGGTACTAATGAGATTTCTTCTGGCGAGCTTTTAGAAGCCATGTCTTAGATGCGCATTTGCGCCTCTGACCCAATAAATCAATCTCAATTCTCAAACCCATACTTTGTCTTCATGCTATTTAATAAGCTCAATGTTGAGAATTTGGCCCACCTTTGCCAAATTGAATCCCATCAACATTCTCCCCACCTAATTCGACAATATTATTGTCATCTCGAACGCCTCGAAGGTGACCGCGGATTGCCACAAATTTCCTAGGGTTCCCACTGATTCGTCCGAATATGTTATGGATCTTCTAGATCCGAATATGTTGGTGGATCTTCTAGATTCTGCAAATAAGAACACAGAAAAGGAAAACCGGGCTGAGGCCGGAGTTAGCACTCCGACGGCCAAGTCAGTATATTTCTGGTTTAAGAGATATTGAAGAATAAATTGTATATATTTTTTCTTTGGTTTAGAAAAAGGATCCAGTTGAATTAATCTCTTACTATTTATAGGAAGAGCTTTTAAGAACGGACTCCAAATACGGATTCCACTTCTATTTTAGTAGTCACCTCAAAAATATTCCAGACTTCCAATGACTATTAAATTAAACTTACCTGTCTTCTCGGTGAATAGTGTTATGAACAGTGTTGTGGGCTGCTTATTCCCTAGACTGCATATTCTCTGACATCTTTAACACTTGAGGAGAGGGGCATTAAATACAAGTTGATTGTCTCAGATCTCATAGACCATATCTTGTAACTCTCGCCTTTGCCTTCTCGCTACTGAGAGAGCGACTCACCTCTCGCACCCGCGATCGTCTTTCGATTAGGTTTCCTAGATAGGCCCAGAACATTGATTTACCAAATCATCTAGTCTGTATATTCTCTGCTATTCCTGACATTTGAGAAGACCTGCATTAAATGTGAGTCGGCGGCACTGATCCTCTTTATGGATCATATCTACTGCTCCAGTCCTCTCCTCTCGCATGGGAGCTCCTCCTTTCCTCTCGACAACAATTGGGCTCCCGCGAGATGTCAATTATTGGGCCCTTACCGGGCCTTCCTTTAATGGGCCAAGATTTAACTTTTACCGAATCACCCACATCAACCCAAATTGGGGGAGTTCCTTTCATTTGATTAAGTAATGTATGCACGGTTGCACACCTCGTCGACGAATGAGCAGGGGCGAGTCCACCTCTTTGGGAGGGTGGACTCAAGCCCACCCTTAAATTATAATAATTTCCCCATATTATACTATATATTTATTAAGCCCACCTAATATTTATTAATTAGCCACCCAAAATACAAATTAATACAAAAACAGCCCCAATTAGTCCACCCAAAATTCAAAATTATGCAAAAAAACCCTTTTTCGTCTTTTTTTTTCCTATTTTTTGATTTTGTCACAAAAAAATCCTAAAAAAAATTTCGGGGGCGTTGCATCCGTACCCCCGAAAATTTAAGTCCACTCTGCGAATGAGATGTCTCTTTGAGTACTGTTTCCACCTCCTTGGTGTAAAAACAGATGGATGGAATGTATACACATATAATCAAATATTTGGGTTATAGTTGCCAACAAAGCGAAATTCAGAGGAGGTAAGTGCAAATTACTCGAAAAGAAAATGTCGAACGGATTGAAGGGGATAATTACACATTTGGTCTCTATATTATATACCAAAATTGAATTTAGTCCTTATATTCTTCTTGCCACCATTTTAGTCCTCAAATAAACCATTTTTTTACACTTTAAGTCGACCGTTTAATCTTAGAGTTAGTTTGGATGGAAAAAGCAAGTGTGGAGCGCATGACAATACACTATAACCCCTTTTTACATATATTGTTTATTTAGTCACAATGTCATATTATTCTTACAATTCCGTCCAAATAAAAAAATTGAATAAATCTGCTAAAAAGGTGAAATGACAAAAATACCATAGGAAGTTTTTTTAGCAATTTGTACATTATATTTTATTCATAAATATTATTTATTTCTTAATTTTTATATTTTTTAATCCAAAATAATATAATTAATTTGAGTATACCAAATTTTATTAGATAATTATTTTTAAATTTATAAATAGTATTTATTTAGCAATTATTAAAATAAAAAAATATGTAAAGAAAATTAAACATATATTTTATTTAACAAAAAATGTTTTTAGTTGTGTATACAATGAAATCGATTTTGCCTAATTTTATAAATACTATGCTATTTTTTTATTTCATGTTACATGTATTTATTCTTTAACATTGTTTTAATAGTACTTCAAATTTAAAAAAAAAAAAAAACTACACCGCCGGTGAGGGCTCTCCACCAGCCACCAAACGACGGCCGCTATAGTCCTCTATTTTATTATTCTTCTGCCGGTGGTCAAGGACTCCTCCCCCTCCCCTTCTTCAAAGAAACATTTCATCTTCTTCCTCGTCGACTCCCCCTTTCGTACTCCCAAACAACTTCTTCATCGACCAGTCCAGATCGACAGCGCCGGTAACCGCCTTACGAAGACTACATATCATTCGCCGAAACCACATTGAAACCGCCATCACCAACACCCTCTTGGTTCAAAAAATTACTGCACTGTAGTGGTGTCAAGATTTTCTTCACCAAATAAAGATTATTTTTCAATTTTTTATTGTGATTCTTGGATTGGGCAAGAACAAGAAATAATCTCAATTTATTTCGTCTTTCTATGAATATTTACGGATCAAATTGAACAAAAAATGAGAAAACAAAGAATTAAGAAGAAACTGATATTGGGAAGGAGGAGCATGTGAGAAAAAAACATAAAATTACAAATTCAATTATAAAGTTCATTTTTTGGACGAACTTGTAACATTAAAGCAAAATTTGGCTAGTTAAAAAATAAGGTAAATTACAACCAACCCCCTGAGGTATGGTCAAATTATAAAAACCCCCCTCTTGTTTGGGTAATTACAACCACTCCTCAACTATAAAATTTAGTGGAATCTTCTAGATTATATGAAATATTATCACTTTTGTACCCGTTTTATCCTATTCGAACTCCACATTTTGAAGCAAGATGATCATAATATGTGTTTTTTGGCTTGTATATATCAGATTGTGATGCATCAGAAACTGTATTTTTACGCAAAATGAGTACAAACTAGAGCATATTCCATGAAATCTAGATGATTATGTTGAATTTGACACCATAAGGGTGGAGGTGTAAGAAAAAAATCATAGTTGAGGGGTGGATGTAATTATTCAACCAAGAGAGTTTTTTTCGTAAATTGACCATACCTCAGGGGTAGTTGTAATTTACCCTTAAAAAATATAGTTAGATAAGGGGTCTAAATGTGTTCTTTCAGCGTTCTCACTTGATATTTCCATTCAAATAAACCCCAAAATCAAACGATAGACGAAAATAGTTAAACAAATGGCTAATTTTAGGACCACCATGGTTATTTCTATGCTACATCCGGTGAAGGTTACACCAGGTGGTTTTTTATCGTTGATCTACACACACCAATGTGGGTGTGTGTATGTGTGTGTTTGTGTGTATATGAATGGTAAAGATCTACCCGGTGTAGCATAGTATAAACCGACTACCATCGTGGCAAGAAAAATATAAGGATTAAAGTCAATTTTAGTGTATTAAATCACACTTTGCACCCTTAAATGGAGTCTTTCGACACTTTGCATCCTTAAGAAAAATAATAATAGCATTTTGCTCCCTCAAAAAACCATAAATCATTCACAATACACCTTTAATTGAATAATAAATGATAATTCTTTTTTTATTGGTTTTTTTTTGTTGCGAAATAATAAATTAAATTGCTATTTATTCAATCTGCTAACTATTTTCGAGCGTACAAAGTGCGAAAAAAGAAAAAACACATATGATAATTGAAAAAAATATATTTTCTTACAAAATAAAATCAAATAAACTTTTTATCACTAAATTATTCCATTGATAGATATTTTACTGTAATTGGTGGAAATATTAGGTAGAAATATTTGGAAGAAAATATGATTTTTTCAGATAACTTAATAACGAAATCGGTGAAGGATTTTTTTTTTCGTAAAAAAAATATAATTTTTAAACACCACTAAAAATATTAAATTACCTTTATTGGCTTTAAAAACTCATGTGGAGTGCATTATGCATAATACATTGTGTTTCGAAGGTACAAAGTGTTATTAATTTATTTCGAGGACGAAAGTGCCAAAATAGTATATTTCAAGGGTGCAAAATGGGATTAAGCCATTGTAAATGGGCAAAAAGTGTAATTATCCCGAGCCGAGGAGAGCAATATTGATAAATTAAGTAGAACAATCTCTGGCGTTAGGGCATCTCCTATGTGTTGGGGAGGGGGTGGGGTGGGGGGTGGGCTTAGGTGTTTAATGAGTAGGGGTGGGGGCTGGGGTGGGGCTGGGGTGAGGGGTTGGGGTGGCTGAGGGTGTCATTTGAGCCCAGGGAGGAGCCTTGGGCTCTCACTCTCTCATGCCTCACGTGTATCTCACGATGCAGGCTTTTCTTCCATTTTTTTCTTTTTTTTTTGTTTTTTTTTGTTTTTTTTCCTTCTCTTTCCACATTACTATTTCTTTTTTTATTTTTTTCTTTTGTTTCTTTGTATATTTTATTTATTTATTTTAATTTATTTTAATTCTTTCTTTTTTTTTTCCTTTTTTGTTTCTTTATTTTTTCTTTATTTATTTTCATTTTATTATTAATTTCTTTTATTTTACTTTAGTTTTCTCGTTTTTTTCTCTAATTCGATCTTTTAATTTAAAATAGTAATTTTATTGTAAATATTCTATTAATTATATTAACATTACGTGTTATTATATTACAAAGCATAGTTAAAAAATGAAAATATAATAAATAACTTAATAATAGCACAACATAATTTAAAAAATCAAATACTCAAATTTATAGGTAAACACTTAAATAAAACTATTACATAAATTTATAATTAAACACTTTATTATTATTATTATTATTATTATTATTATTATTATTATTATTATTATTATTATTATTATTATTATATGGTGAGAGTGGTGTTGGAAAAAATTAGATGAAAGAGATCGATCGGCTGGACGAAAAATAGGTTGGGGTCGGGGTCGGGATCGGGGAGCCCCGGGGGAGCCGCCCCCCATCGACAGGAGATGCCCTTAGTATAAATAAAATAAAAAAAAAAATAAAAAAAAGAAAAAAAAAAAAAGAAACTAGAGTTCAGAGTATCCCTTTCTCGGTCATATATATATATAAATAATAAGTCTTGAGAAAACCCTTTCTCCCACCTCCCGCCCCTTCGAGATCCACCGCTCCTCCTCCATTTTAAACCCTAGATACCACCGTCGGAGCGTGCCAAATACTCGCCGGAATTTCAAGTTTGATTAAAAAAAAAATTACAAGTAGAGAGAGAAACAAACCGACGCCGGTTTCTCTCTTTCCATCGGATCTGATTCGCATCCAGGTATGAGTGACTCGATCCGAAGATTCTTACCTCGCGCATACGCTCGTAATATGTATATGTATGTATTTTTTTCTCAGTAGGACGAAGTAGATGAAGAAAAATTTAAGAACTAGGGTTTATGTGTGTGGGCGAGAGAGTGATTTGAGCTCAATTTTCATCTGGTTATGTATTCTGTCTGTAGGCCTTTTCTTAGATCGTTGATCAGTGATGGCAGCGGAAGCAGCAGTAGTGACGGCGGCAGCGGAAGCAGCGGCAGCAGCGGCGGAGGTGGTTGCAGCGGCAGAGGTGGCAGCTCAGATAGCAGTGTCCCCTCAAGTTGTGAGTGACGTTTAATTTATTTATTTATTATTTTTTTTTTTTTGGTTTATGGGGATTTGTCCTATTAAAAAAAATGTTTATTTTTGATTGATTTAACTTGTAGTGAATTTTGTTTGGTGATAGGTTGGGAACGCATTTGTGCAGCAGTACTACCACATACTGCATCACTCACCGGGGCTCGTTCATAGGTTTTATCAGGACAACAGTAAGCTCGGTCGCCCTGAAATCGATGGCTCCATGAGCATCACCACCACTATGCAAGTAATCCCTCTCTCTTTCTTACGCTTTCAGTGTCGTCTCTTGTTTGTTATTGATAATTAGTATATGAAGCTTATCTGCTCGAAATATTTTGTTTCCGTAAATATGAAAATTATAAAAAGAGTTAAACTTGGTTCATATTTTTTTTTATTTGCCTTTTCTGAAGATACCATGTCGTCCTTCTTTTCATCATCCTTTGGGTTATAAATTTTTGTGCCCTGCTATTTCAGTGATGGAAGTAGCAATTTTTTATTGGGGTGTTCACAAAACAAGTGAATATTTATATACTTTAATTAAACCAACATAAATTGGAATATAATCATTGGAATTCCTGTTTAAATATGCTAGAAAGGGATTGGGCTATAAGTTTAAACTTTAATGTAAGTTTAAAATACTTTTTTTTGTTAGAATTGGAAATTTTAATAAATTACTAATATAAAGTACACTGTTTTGTCTGTGTGTGTTAAAAAATAAAATAGTACAGTACATATTTTTGGTTGTTGGCTTGCTTAAGCGATCAAACGGTGGTTGCTTGAGGTGTTAATTGATTTGAATGTAACAAGGAATAGTTTTGTTAAAGTGTTTTTTGTGTGATTTGACCATGCAGGCGATCAACGAGAAGATAATTTCACTCAAGTATACCGACTTCAGAGCTGAGATCAGGTCGGTGGATGCCCAAGAGTCGTTTGACGGTGGAGTTCAGGTTCTTGTAACTGGCTATCTAACAGCGAAAGACAATAAAGTTAGCCATTTTGCTCAGTCCTTTTTCCTTGCTCCACAAGACAAGGGCTACTTTGTTTTGAATGACATGCTCCGATATGTGGACACTGTCGCTCTCAACCCGGCATTGATCACTGAAGTTGTCGTGCCTATTGCTGCAGCGCCAAGTAACAAATACATTTCCGTACTTTTTGGATTTTGTTGTGCTTTTCGTTACTGTTTGAGTTGATTTTTTTTTTCTTTTTTTAATTTGCTGTCAGTACCTGCTGATCCAGTTCAGGAGAATCATGTTTCCGAGCAGAGCACACCATCTGCAGAGGAAGCTGTTGCAGGAGAAGTTTACAACCCACCTGAGAATGGAGATGTTGCAATTGCTGAAGAAGAAGAAGAAGAACCTGTAGCTGAAGTTGTTGATGAAGTGCAGGAAATTGCGAAACCGTTGGATCGATCCAGTGCCAAAATTGAAGAAGCCCCAAAGAAGACTTATGCCTCTATTGTAAGTTGAATTTTAACACAGGCCTACTATATCGTACAGCTTGTACTAGATTTAAGCTGTTTCTATCTCTACCATGAGTATATCAATATGTGGTATCATTGTCTTGCTGCCTTGTATGTAAGCTGAAACCTATTCTCGCGTTATTATTTCAGGTGAAGCATCTGAAGTCAAATGCTGCAAGTTTCTCGCCTCCACCAGCGGCTCCCCGAAAAGTAGCACCAAAGACCATCGAGCCGGTGAACCCTACTTCTGTTCCAGCACCTGATAGACCAATTTCCAGTTCGAATTCTGTTGATAATGAACATATCCAAGAGGGTGAAGGTATGATATGATTAATTTATCCCATCTTTAGCTTTACAAACTTGTCATATCTTTTGGTTGAATTGCTTTTGTTGAATGATCTTTCTAATATCTGTCAATGTTTTGTGTTTCTCTACTTTATACAGCTGATGGTTACTCGGTTTACATAAAGGGCCTTCCGATGAATGCTACCGATGCCATGCTTGAGGAAGTATTTAAGAAATTTGGGACCATCAAGAATGATGGAATTCAAGTTAGAAGCAACAGGGTATGATCCAATCTATTATTCTTTTAGAAATTAATCGAGAAATCATTGATGCTTATTGTCTCTGTACGACTATTAAAAATTACACAATGAAACCAGCCTTGATATTTTTGCTGCAGCAACAAGCTTTTTGTTTTGGTTTTGTGGAATTTGAGGAAGCAACTTCTGTCCAAAAAGCCCTCGAGGTACGTGGTCTTCTGTGATTGGATGCATAATAATATGGACTTGTACTCTTTAATCTGGGGTTCCTTCTACGAACTTCAGTTCCTTGGAGGAAGCCTGATGATTGAAGAATGATTGGATGCATAATAAATTGGACGCTTTTATCTTAATATATTTCAGGCTTCTCCAGTAGCAATTGGTGGACGACAAGTCTTTGTCGAAGAAAAGAGGTCTAATTCTCGAGGTAAGTGGACTCTATAGGAGAGTACAATCTATGCATTTTAGCCAGTGATGCATTTTCATAAGTCAAAACACACAAGGAAATCTTCCGAAAAAGTAGAGCATCATAAGAAATGGAAATATTATAGAACTATTGACTTATTCTGAATGCAAATTAGTTGATACCCTTTCTTTTAAATGTTTTATTAATTTTGTTTTTCTTGTGTTGCAGGGAATAATAATAGGGGAAGGTATATATCTGGAAGGGGTTCTAGTTTCAGAAACGAGGGAGTTAGAGGGCGCGGAAACTATGGTGGAGGTGGTAGGGGTTACAACAGAGGCGGTGATTTTAACGGCAGGAGTGAGTTCGGAAACAGGGGCGGAAATCGAGGCGGATCATCAAACCGTGATGGATATCAGAGGCCCGAGAATGGTGGCACTAGCAATGGAGGCCGTGTGAACCGACCTGCCGGTGGTGGAATGGCTAATGGCACAGCAAAGAATATGACACCTCGAGTTTCTGCTACTGCTTGAGGAAATTGTAGCTTATTAGAGGGTAGTCTACGAGTGGTGGTCCGAAATAGGCTTTTCTTTGTTTTAATTTCGACGAGTTTTTATCTAGCGGGGATTTTTATTTTTTTTATTCGGCACTTCCATTGAAGGGTCACTGTCTGAATTTTTTTTCGTCGGCTCTCCTAACTAATTTATTTCACATTTTTCTCATTTGTGGTCGTAGTTCATTGGTAGGCGAGATATATAGTAGATTCTTTTTGGTAGTGTAGTGCCAGCCAAGGCCCCGGAAGAAGAAAAAATCGTAACTCGTTGGGCATGTTTTCGGTTCTTTTGTATTTCGAAACAATTGTGTTCTCTTTTTCTTTAATCAATCTCTTTAAGAGCGAGATCTCTTTCACCTATGATTTACTTGTCTTGCTGCACTTCAATTTTACAGTTGATAAACTGTTAATGCTGTCATTACCAACATACACATAGGGTTTTTGGCACTTTGCACCCTTGAATTACATCATTTTGGCACTTTGCACCCTTAAATTGCACAATTGGCAGATTGCACCCTTTAAACATAAATTGTTTCGCACTTTGCACCTCAAATCACTTCTAGCTTAGAAAAATTACCTGCAACTTATTGAAAACCTGAAAGATGGGCAAATTCGCAATTCTCTAATCATCTATCCTCTTCCCCCAATTCTTAATCATCGTTCCACCATTTTTATATTTCTTCCTATTAATCAAAAAAATCATAGATTCTTCTTACCCGTTTCTATTTGCCATAATATGTAAATTCTGAACCAAAACTCAAGATTGGTCAGAATATATAGACAAGAGTCCGATAACACACCTTCAAAAAATCAAGTTTTATTCCATGGTAACGCTATTTTTTTTCTAATAATTATGCAGATCCAAACTATTCAATGGGAGCACAAAATCTTTCCATCATGAAACTAATAGGCACCACCTTTCTACCACCAAATAAACTTCTCAGTAGCCTTATTTTGTCATTTGACTATTCAAAAAAAAAAAAAAATTGAGGACTCGGCCTAAAATTTTCAGTTACATTATTTTTCATACTCAAAAGAAAAAAAAAAGTGATTTTACTATTATTGTTTAGTGTTTATACCGATTTTACCATTGAAAGAAATGGTGATGATGCTAAAATATAGCTCACCGGAGTAGTGTAGAAAACGAGCTGGGAGAGCAAAGCTGATCAGTAGCTAGTCAACTTGATGATCCTGAGGTCCCTGCGAAAAGAGCACACGTGAACTAAGCCGGGGGTTGATCCGGCGGAAACACCTCCGACGCTCAAGTCAGATGTACGGATCGTAGAGGTAGTAGAGAGAATAAAATTCGGAATTGATTGTAAATAAAAATGAGAACGTACCTTTACAAATGAATAAAACTTCTATTTATATGTCGTTGATTGAGTTGGGCTTATTTTGTTGGGCCCAAGCCTTACTTTGAAGGTGCTTGGGCTTTCGTGTAATGGGCCCGAGTACTTTCGTGTATTGGGCCTAATTGTTAAATAAATTGGGGCCCATTGGGTCGGCCCAATTAGATATATCATTAAGCCCTCCAACTCTCGATTCGAGATGGGGACTTGTCTAGAGGTATCCGGGTCGTGTCGAGAGTTAATTGCGTCGTCTATTGAATTGTTTCCGTTGGTGGTGAATTAATTCCTTAATTTAAATAAGGGATTATTGTATTTATTTGGCAGCAAGGTATATATTTAAGGGTTTTAAATAATATACCAGGGCCAGATAAATAGACTCCTTTTGCGGTGGAAAGCGTTAAACTTCAACTCCTACGAAATATATATGGGTATGTATTTTTAATTCTCAGTCTTCTTCTGTGCTATTCTTCTCTTGAAAAATATTTTTTGTGGTAGAGTCGAAATTTTTTTGTTTTCTTGATTGCTTCTCGGGGGAAAAATATTTCTCATGTCGAACTCGGGTAATTCAAAATCTTTGCGGATTAAACTTCGAGATCCGGTTGGAGGGGGCAGGAAAACTTTTGGGACGGTGGGTATGGAACGCGAGAAACTTGTGGTATCGGGTGCGGAAATCGGATCCGCAGTAGAAGATGCACGGAATTTTGTGCAGATGAAGGAGAAAAGGGGGGCTGCTGCTGTCGGCTTGAGCCGCGCCGGAAGCCGAGAAAATATTTGTGTGAGCGCGCGCGTCGAGGCAGCTTTGGAGCCGAGTGGAGCCGATGAGCCGCCGGCTTGCACCAAGAACGAGGAGAGAGGAGAGAGAAGCAACAGGCCACGTGGGCCAGCTGCTGCTGGAGGCGCGTCGGAGGTGGGGCAACGCGCGCGCGGGATTGGACCGTGTCCCGACGCGCGCGTGCTGGTTGGTGGTAGTGGCAGTGCTGACGCGCGCGCGCTGCCCAATCAAGGGGCGCGTGCGCGCGCGTCGGTGGCGGATGGTGGGGGTGTTGGTGACGCGCGCGTGCTGGGGAGATTGGGAGCGCGTGACCGCGCGTGTGACGCTGGAAAAGTGACACGTGGCCACTCTGCACTGGGAGACGTGCGCGCGCGTGGAGCAGTTGCTCCTGGGCTTCCGCGCGCGCGTGAGGGCGCGTCGGAGGGGGGTTTTGGGTCCGGTTCGGGCGAAATTGAAGGGCGAATTTCCGAGGGTGCCGATGTGCGTGGTGTTTTAAACGGAGGGAGTTTTGATCGGCGAGAAATCATTGAATCGTGGAGTGACGATGTAGAAGTGCGTAACAATATTAATATTTGCCCTGCTGTTGATGAAGCGGATTCTAGTATACGTCGCTATGGACGTCGAGTCGTGGATTTTGGGAGTGATAGTGATGATTCGAATCAAGCTCCTTTGGCGAGTGATCATGCGGTGCCAAGTAACGAAATTGAGTCGACGGATGAAGAGGAGGAGGAAGATGATATTCCACCAGGTGATGTTGAGGTAGACACGAGGAGGCAAAAGAAAAATAAGCCAATTAATTTGGACTTAGTTAATTTTGACAGTGTGTTGACGGAAGAACATTTGCATTTTATTCGTCGTTTATCTGGAGCGCCGAGTAATGTCGAGTTGTTGTTGCCTCGGAAGGGCTATTGCTTGTATTCGCCCCCCGATGGGTTTCATACGGTATTTTTGGGGTACTTGACATGCACATCTCAGATTACACCGCATCCCACCTTGTTGAAGGTTTGCGAGGAATTCAAGATTGGGTATAGTCAGCTAACGCCCGCTGCTGTTCTGATGTTCCAGGCGTTTCATTTTAGGGTGGTTCGAGTAGGGCTGCCTGTGTCTGTGAGTTTATTTAAGGCGTTATTTACGTTACATCGGCCCAATAAGATGCCTTTCTTTTGCTTTCATCCTCACGTTCATTATCAATTCGTGAAGAGTGTGAAGCTATCTTTGGGGAAATGGAAGACCTATTTTTTTTACGTGAGGGCTCCCACTTTTGACGTTCCCGTAGTCTGGAATCCTACGTGTGAGAGTTTCGCGATAACTGCAAATATGGCGAAGAGGATTGAGGAATCTGGGTTGTGTGATGTGGAATTTGATCCGAGGAGTTTGATCCCGACGGTGAAGGGTCAGCATCGTATATCATTTTGTTGCCTTGACTTGTGTTTTTATTTATTTATTTATTTTTTTTTTGTTGTAGTTGTTTGGTATTGTATACCCCATGTTTCTTATGTATTTGTTATCTCTTGTAGATGGGGGTATCACCTTTGCGGCACTTCGAGCTAAGGCGAATGGGTCGTCGAAGAAGAAGTCGAAGAAGGTTCCCTCTGTGTTGGGAGGTTCTTCAAATGATTTGACTCGTGAGGATGTCCATGTGAAAAGTCCTCGAGTAGTCGCAGATGATCGTAGCAGTGCTGGTGAAGTGGAGGGGCGTCCACCGACGAGGGATCGTGGCAAGGGAAAGATGGTGGATACCGAGTATGTGGCTGTGCCTAAGCGTCCACGGGTTGACCCAGAGGAGAGCTATGCTTTCCATGGTGGAGGAGGGAAACAGTTGTTTACCTATGGTGTGAATCGCGATGGTAAGGAGTTGTATTGGGATGTGTCGGACCGTGATCTACCTATGTTGAGTACCGAGGGATTCGTTCGGGAGTATGATCGTGCCCGGATGTCTGGTAAGGGCCCTTGTCACATGTTGGAGTTAGCCGGTGGGGACATATGTCGGGTGAGTCCTTGTTTATTTAAAACCAGATTAAATGTCATTTCCTCTCTTCTTTGTGTAAATTTATTGTTTTATTTTTATTATTATTTTTTTTTTTAGTTGGTAGCGACTTGGAGATATCTCATGGAGCATGGTAGGAGTGTGGAGGCTAGGGAGGAAGATGAAAAGGCTCGAAGTCAAGCGCGTGAGGATGAACTTCTAAGCCAGTTGGAGGTAGCGCGGGCCGATCTCGCTCTACGCTCGGAAGAGCTTGCTCGGCGGACGGAGGAGCTTGCTGAGAGGACCGAGGAGCTCGAGGTTATTCGAAGTGAAGCGAAGGCGTATAAGGATGATGTTCATAAGTTGAACGTATGCTACGACCAGCTCAAAGAAAAATATGAAGTTGAGAAGGCGACGGGGAAGAGGTTTCTCACGACATCAGGTGGTGTGGCTTATAGGGAGTCCATCGTGGAGGAAACCAAGGCTAGCTTCCGAGGTAGTGACGAGTGTACTGCCATGATTGAGGAGCACGCATTGGCTGTGGTTTATAAGCCATTAGTGCGCGCTTGTCGCAAATATCTGCGCGATGCGGGTGGTATCAGCGAGAAAGTGATTCGTGGGATGGAAGCTGGCATATCCGATGAAGAGGAAGATGAGATAAATGTCAATGAGACGGGCACAGAGCTTGTGGATGATATGGTTGCGGATGATTCCACCGTGGTTGCCTTTTCCGCTCGTGGTAGGGGAGTTTAGACTTATCTGTTAGGATAGCTAACTTTTCCCTTTTATTTTTTATTGCTATTTTTTTTTTTTTTTTTTTTTTTTTATATATGGATTTCGTAGTTTATTTTTATCGCTGATGTAGATGGGTATGTCCACTACTATTTCGCTTGAGTTTCTTCCTTGTTTGACGTTGAAGTTTAATATTTCGATTTATTTATTTTGACATTGTCAAGAATTAATGCGTTGCTTATATGTATTTACATGAGCATATACGCGATGTACTTGAGGAGGGGATCAGTCTCCCAAGGTTTTTGTTTAAGGGTCGTGCCCTTTGTTTGGACCGCTTGGGTCTTAAATATGTTTGTCCGTGGCCACGTTTTAAAATTAACACCTCGGGAAACAAATAAAGGGACTCAGATAATCCAGCTGGCCAGGCTATATGGATTGTCTGAATCTCTCTAAGTGTTTGTAGGGTGGTATTGAATTAGACTCATGATAAGAGGTAGATTGTATCGATGTAAAGGCATAGAGAGTAAAACGAAAATTGTGATTTATTCGATGATAGCAAAGGAGAATTGTTACAGGCCCATGTGAGGCGAATATAAGTAAATAGGTAATGCGATAGACCTGCGTGAGGCGAAGGTAAACTACTACTACGGAAGCAAATAAATTGACTTGATAACAAAAATTTTCTAAGTGATTGTACTTTACTTGTTCTTCTTCCACGTCTTCCTTGTATTCGTTCGTTTCGCTGTGTTGATGCTAGGCTGTCTTCTTTTGGTGTCGCTATGCCCTACTACGGGGTTGATATTTCTTTCTCGCACTCCAAGATATGAAATGAACTCGTGAGTTGCTGCGAGTTGCTATGCAATCATGCCTGCTAGTGGGATTATTTAGTCACGTTAGTAATCATAAATGAGATTATCGGTGTGTTGAATTCTAGTAGAAGTATAGTTACCCTCGGCAATGTGGTATGGAGTGTCTTCGATCAAGCAGCGCATTGGTTGATTCATATACATCTTCGCGTAGTAGGTTCTCGACCTGTAAGGAGACGATGGGATGTGATTATGAATGACTGATGTAAGTAACAATTAATAGCCCCCCAGCTTAGGTGGGACGTTAACGCACCTTGTTATGTGGTGTCAAATTTCTAACCATGTAGAAGCAGCTTTACAAGACGAGTGACGTGGAAGGTCGCGGAGCCTGCATGGGTAATGTTTCGTAAGTAATTTTCATATAGGGGGGGGCATAGGTGGTTACTTCAACGGATGTAATTTAGGTAGATGTATACCTTAGGCGTAGAACCGTTTGAGGTTCCCTATATTCCAAGTTCAGGGTATAGGGTGTCCGTCAGTGTTCTCGAGGCGATATGCTCCGGTATTGACGACTTTGGTGATTTTATACGGTCCTTCCCACTTTGGGTCAAGCTTACCGATGGGGTGAGAGGCCTTTTCGGATGACTAAATCTCCAACTTGAAAGGAGCGAGGGCGGACCTTAGAGTTATATGCCTTGACCATGCGTGATTTATACATTTGTTGCCGGATGTATGCGATCTCACGTAACTCGTCTACGAGGTCTAGGCTTCCCCGCATAGCCTCTTCATTAGCTGTTGGGTCATAGTTGGTGATTCGCCAAGATGGTTCTCCGATTTCGACGGGTGCGATAGCCTCTGTTCCGAAAGCTAGATTGAAGGGCGACTCTCCGGTTGCTGATCGTGGGGTTGTGCGATAAGCCCATAGCGCGTTAGGCAATTCGTCCACCCACTTCCCTTTGGCGTTTCCAAGCCTTGTCTTAAGGTGTTGGAGTATGGTGCGATTCGTGACCTCTGTCTGGCCGTTAGCCTGTGGATTGGCTACGGATGTGAAGAACTGCTTGATGTCTAAGCCGAGGCACCAATTCTTTACTTTGTCACCGCAAAATTGGGTCCCATTATCCGAGATGATGGAACGTGGGATTCCGAAGCGGCACACGATGTTTTTCCATAGAAATTGGATGACTTCTTCTTCTCGGATGCGTGCTAAGGGTTCAGCCTCCACCCATTTGGAGAAGTAGTCCACTGCTACAATGAGGTATTTGCGTCCTCCTGTGGCGGGCGAGAAGGGTCCAACTAAATCCATCCCCCATTGGGCGAAAGGGATGGGGCTGTCAATTGGTTGCATTAACGCCGCTGGCATGTGAGTGATATTGGCATGCTCTTGGCAAGGCTTACACCTCCGGACTAATCTTTTCGCATCTTCATGCATTGTTGGCCAATAGTAGCCCTGCCTCAGTAGTTTGAGAGCTAAGGTTCTCCCGCTCAAGTGATTGCCGCAGATGCCTTCGTGTACTTCTCTAAGTACATAATCCGCTGTGGTCGGGTCGAGGCACTTGAGATAGGGGAATGAAAAACCCCGTTTATACAGTTCTTCTCCCACTATAGTGAAGCGGGGGGCTCTTGTTTTTAACTTCCGTGCTTCATTGGGATCCGTTGGAAGTTCCCCCTCCTTGAGATACTTCAGAATTGGAGTGAACCAGCATGGTTCATCCTCGTCGGTGTAGTGTACTTCAGTAGGCGAATTTATCTCCGGCTGAGGTGAGGTGAGGAGCGTCACCTTCCGACTTTCGATGCTGGCCATGGAGCTTCCTAGCCTAGCTAATTTGTCTGCATGGACGTTATTGGAGCGAGGTACTTGTTTTATCTCATAGCTCTCGAATTTAGATAAGAGAGTGTGCGCGAGAGCTAAGTATTTGGCCATGATGTCTTCTTTGGCCTCGTAAACTCCGAGTACTTGGTTAACGACGAGCTGAGAGTCGCTATGGATTAGGAGCTTGCGCGCTCCGGCTGCTAGGGCGAGGCGGATTCCCGCTATCAGTGCTTCGTATTCAGCGACGTTGTTTGAGGCTGTGGATTCGAATCGTTGAGCATATTCGAACTCGTCTCCATCAGGGTTCGTTAGGACGATACCCGCTCCCCCTCCTGTGGCAGTGGAAGATCCATCAACGCTGACAGACCAAGTAGATAGAGAGGTGTTTTCTTCCATTGAAGTCATTTCGACTAGAAAATCAGCCAATACTTGCGCTTTAATAGCGGGGCGGGGTTTGAATTCGACTCCATATTCGCTGAGCTCTATCGCCCATTTTGCTAATCGCCCGGATGTTTCGGGACTTCTTAGTATTTGCTTCAGAGGATAATTTGTGGGAACCACCACTTGACGTGACTGGAAGTACGGTCGAAGCTTCCGAGCTGCGTTGATGAGGGCGAGAGCGAGTTTCTCCATGTTGGTGTAGCGTTGTTCGGCTCCTTGGAGTGCGCGACTTATGTAGTATATGGGTTGGTGGCCCTTTTCCCCATCTCGGATGAGGACTGCGCTGACGGCATTGGCGGAGGTAGCTAGGTATAGTAGGAGGGTGTCTCCGGGCTGAGGTTTTGTGAGCAGGGGTGGGGATGCTAAGTACGACTTCAGCTCAACGAATGCCTTTTGACATGCCTCATCCCACTCGAACTTTTTTCCTCCCCTTAAAATTTTGAAAAAGGGGAGAGCCTTGTCCGCTGATCTTGAAATGAATCTGTTCAGGGATGCCAAACAGCCGTTGAGCTGTTGAACTTTCTTGATCGATGTTGGCGGAGCCATGGAGGTGATTGCTTCGATTTTCGCGGGGTTAGCTTCGATTCCTCGCTGCGAAATCATATATCCCAAAAATTTGCCTCCCCGAACTCCGAATGAACATTTGAGGGGGTTGAGCTTCATCTTATATTTTCGCAGGGTGGCGAAACACTGATCCAGATCCGTTAGGTGGTCCGAGACCTTAACACTTTTGACGAGCATGTCGTCGATGTACATCTCCATATTTTTACCGATCTGATCTGCGAACATTTTGTTCACTAGACGCTGGTAGGTGGCTCCTGCGTTTTTCAACCCGAAGGGCATGACTTGATAGCAGTAGATGCCTTGGTCATTGATGAAACTAGCCCTCTCTTGATCTTCTGGCGCAAGTAAGATTTGGTTATACCCTTGGTATGCATCGAGGAAGCTGAGGAGCTCGCATCCTGAGGTCGAATCGATGAGTTGATCGATTCTAGGTAGAGGAAAAGGATCCTTAGGACAAGCTTTGTTGAGGTCGGTGAAGTCTACGCATAGTCTCCACTTCCCCCCGGGTTTGGGAACGAGTACTACGTTCGACAACCATTCAGGATACTGAACTGGTCGTATGTGGCCTGCTTCAAGGAGTTTTGCCACTTCCGCTTTGATATGCTTGTTGCGTTCGGGACCAGATGTCCGTTTCCTCTGTTTGACTGGCTTCAACCTCTTGTCGACGTTAAGCCGATGTAAGGCTACCTGAGGGGGAATGCCCGACAAATCTTGGGCTTTCCATGCGAACACATCTTCATTGTGTCGTAGGAAGTTGATTAGCTGCTGCTCCGTGGTTGGATCTAAATCAGATCCTATTCTTACGAGCTTGGAGGTATCTCCGGGAGTGAGCTCTATGAGCTTAAGTTCTTCGACGGCTGCTAGCTTGATGCTATCATCTGGCACACTGATGAGGATTTCTTTATTATCCTCAATGATCGCGTTGACCCACTTCCGTTTGTCGGATTTTTGGGTATCGTCTCCCCTTCCGGGTGGTTTAAGCTTCTTCGAAGGTTCTCGTAGGGCCCTTGCGTAGCACTCTCGAGCGAGACGTCTATCTCCAAGCACTTCTCCCATTCCATAGGGAGTAGGGAACTTCCACTTCTGATGGTAGGAGGAAGGCACTGACTTAAATGTGTGGATTGCTGGCCTCCCCAGAATGATCTTGTAGGGCGATGGCCTGTCGACGACGAGGAACTTGATTAGTTTTTTGATTCGACAGGGGTCTTCCCCTAAAGAAACTGGTAGCTCCACTTCTCCCATGGATAAAATGCCTTCTCCTGTGAATCCTTTCAGGGGTGTGGAGACGGGATTAAACCGGGCATTATCTATGCCTAGCTGCTTAAAAGCGTGGAGGTACATGATGTCAGCTGAGCTTCCACCGTCCACTAATATCTTCTTGACCAAGAAGTTGGCCACCGTTGTTGTTACTACCAATGCATCGACATGGTCTTCATCTGGACCTTCGAGGTCGGAGGAGTTGAAGACTATGCTGTGATCAGGTCTTCGTATTTGATATATGCGTGCGGATGGAGAAGCATGTTCTTGATTCATGCGTGCTGATCGAGCGAGGGTGCGTCTTGCATTTTGTGAATCGCCACCCGCTGGTCCTCCGTTGATAAAGGAGATGATTCCTCGGGTAGGCTGGTTATCGTTGTTATCTAGGTCACGTCTATGACCTCCATCCTCTCGCCTTTGTTGTTGATCTCGATTGTTATCTCGGCGTGGAGGATCATCACGACGCTTATTTCGCGGCTTATCAATGTATTCGCCTAAATGGCCCTGTTTGATCAGTCTTTCAATCGCCACCTTGAGTTGTGCACATTCCTCCGTAGTATGTCCTCTGTCCTTATGGAATCGACAATAACGATCCGACTTTTCTCGCTTGGCATTTGGTTGCATAGGACGTGGAGGTTCTGCTAAACCTTTCTGTTCTATCACGTGAAGGATTTCAGTGAGGCGAGCGTTTAGCGGAGTGAACCTGTTGTAGGAGGAGGAGGGTTGGCCTTGAGGTGGAAGTGGTGGGCGTCGGTCATCGCGCCTCCTATTGTCCTGACGGTCATCTTCCCTTTTCCTTTTAAGAGGAGCATGGGTAGAGGCTTCCTCTATCCGGACGTACTTTTCGGCTCGATTCAGCAACTCCTCTAGGTTGCCTGGGGGTCTTCCGGCGATAGATTCCTTGAATCTACCCGGTTTCAAGTTTTGCTGCATAATCCCGGAGAGCATGTCTTGTCCCACACTGGGAACTTCATGGACGGCTTCTACGAAACGCTTGATGTAGTTGCGGAGCGTTTCGTTATCTCTCTGTACTACTGAGAAAAGATGAACTGGGGTCTTGGCATATTGTTTGTTGATAGCGAATTGGTTGGTGAACCGGGTTGACAACCGAGCGAAGGTGTCAATCGACCCTATGGGTAGAGAGTTGAACCAATTCATTGCCCTCTTGGAGAGAGTGGTACGGAACATTTTGCACATCGCAGCATCCGTCGGGCCATATAAATCCGCCATGGCACTGAATTTCTCTATATGTTCCTGTGGGTCGGTGGTCCCTTCAAATTGAGGTAACCCCGAGATCTTCACTCCTTGAGGTAATACCTCGTTGAGAATGTCTATGGTGAAGGGACTGCGTCTTGTTGGGAGAGGCATTCTTTCACCCATTTGATTATTTGGTTGGGGGAAAAGATTTTGGCGAGACATTCTGCTGTTTACCTCGCCTTCTCCCTCATTAAAGAGAGGGACTCTCTGTGGTGACGCATTCCCCCTTGGGGGTGAGCGCTGACGCTGCTGTCTGGGCTGTGCCCCTCTGTGGTTGGTAGATAACTGCACTCGGGATCGTGGATCCGAGGTGGAGGAGGAGACACTTATTTGATTCTGTATTGGCTGTAGGGCCACGGGTGGCGCTACAGGTGGAGCTGGCGCTGGTATCGCATTGGGAGCGTTTGCTCCCATCGTGGCGATATATTGAGTTACGGCCTCCGTGGCGGCGCGAGTAGAAGCTTCCGTTATCATACGTTGGAGCGCGTCCTCGGTTATTTGAACCGTTCGAGGAGCAGGGAGTGGTGGGTCCCGAGGGGGGATCACCTGAACCTCGCGAGGTGGATCTGCAGCACGTGGAAGAGCTGGCTCCGCGGCACGTGGAGGAAGTGGCTCCGCGGCGCGTGGAGGAGGTGGTATGCCAGATCCTCCACGGACGGGAAGGTTATTAGCCATGTCATTTTCTCTCCGAGCTGACGCCTCAGGAGGATCTTGTTGGCTACGTGATCTGGTTTGCATCGTTCCCACAGACGGCGCCAAAATGATGATGCTAAAATATAGCTCACCGGAGTAGTGTAGAAAACAAGCTGGGAGAGCAAAGCTCATCAGTAGCTAGTCAACTTGATGATCCTGAGGTCCCTGCGAAAAGAGCACACGTGAACTAAGCCGGGGGTTGATCTGGCGGAAACCCCTCCGACGCTCAAGTCAGATGTACGGATCGTAGAGGTAGTAGAGAGAAAAAAATTCGGAATTGATTGTAAATAAAAATGAGAACGTACCTTTACAAATGAATAAAACTTCTATTTATATGTCGTTGATTGAGTTGGGCTTATTTTGTTGGGCCCAAGCCTTACTTTGAAGGTGCTTGGGCTTTCGTGTAATGGGCCCGAGTACTTTCGTGTATTGGGCCTAATTGTTAAATAAATTGGGGCCCATTGGGTCGGCCCAATTAGGTATATCAAATGGCTAAAAAGATTTTAGAATTTTTTGATTGAAGGGACGAAAGATAAAAAAGGTGCAACGGTGATAGAATTTAGGGAAGAGGATAGATAACAAGAAAATTATGAATTTGCCTATCTTCCAGATTTCCAGCAAGTTGCAGGTAAGTTTTCTAAGCCAAAAGTGATTTGGGTTGCGAAGTGCCAAACAATTTATGTTTAAAGAGCGCAATCTGCCAATTTTGCAATTTAAGAGTGCAAATTACCAAAAGGGTGTAATTTTAAGGATGCAAAGTGCCAAAAACCCATACACATAAGTTTCCCATTCATGTTATGCCCTTATATTCAATTAAATATTAAATTAACTGTTTCTAATGAAACAATTAATAATAATGATGTAAACAAAACGAAATGTTAAAAAAAAAAAATTCAGGACAAGTAGGAACTTGATCAACAACTGCAGAAGCAAACAGCTGTCACATCATTAACAAACTGCAGTAACAATAACTTGGCAAGATAACAAATATCTAAATTTGCAAGAAATGAATTTTTTTTTTCATGTAATTACCAAAAGCATATAAATTAGCTTTCACCAACTGTGAGCTGCTTAACAGCGAGCGAATATGAACAACAGGAAAATATGTATACTAACTACGACAAATGAATTGCTTAAACTTGAACGATACGGAAGTTTTCTAGGTTAAATACGAGGCACAAAATCTGCGTGTGAAAAGGAGCGGTAGCCTCGGAAGTTCTTGAAGAACTAGCATTGGCCAGTCCTACAAGCATGTGTTTCCTTTTGTGGAGTTGGTGTGTTTATAGACCAAAATTGCAGGTCTGCACATACTCGTTTTCATAGTCGACGTACTTGGTCCAAAGCGGACGGAACTGGGTAATAGCAATGTCGAGCCACGGCTTCATATTTCCGTTGAAATGTATGACTGCAGCATTATTGATCTCATCCATGCTTATGCTCGGATTATATCCAAGCCCCAAAACATGCCAAGATTTGTCGAGTGGCTTGGTTGTAGAGTAGTAAGTGATCAGGCCTGGAGGAAGTGTTCCTAATTTCCACAACGTTCGATTCTCATTCTGCAAAAGATAACACACACAAAAGCCCATGCAAGAATTAGTGTATAGAAGAAAAAGCTTTAGATATCTATATATGTGTGTGCGTTGCAGTTCAGATGAAAATGAAGGCAATATTTATAATGGAAAAGGAAAGTACAACTCAAAACAATATTTCTCAACGTCAGAAACAAACGATTCTTGAGTTCGTAGAACTTAGTTATATGAGCGTAAAATGGTTAGATAAAATCAAGCACCTAAAAATTCATTAGGGTGTCGATGCATTTGCCATAGAAGACCCCAATAATTGATACTAAAATCACACACACACACACACACACACACACACACACACACAAAAGACCAAATAATTAATCATAGTATTTATGAGTATTTATTCTCACCAGGTTCTGCCAGTAGTGATACTCTTCAGTGCACTTTTCCCTTCTCCAAGCATCTAAATCAAAGAAATTCATCCCATAAGCCCATGCGCATGCCTTGGGACTAAACCTAGCTTTGATCAGTGGGTGGGAGAAATTCATATACTGCGCATAGCGATGAAAAGATCCAAAACACGTCTCCACAGCCCCGTTCACTTTTCCGTCCATATCTATCTTCCAGAGACCAGTCAAATCTCTTTGAACCACAATATCATCATCCAAGAACAAAATCTTGTGCAGTTTCGGGTACATTTCCGGCAAATAGAATCTGAGATGGTTCAATATAGACAGATATTTCGGGTTCCTAAATTTCATGTTTGTTGTGTCCTTCGTCGCGTTCTCAAGCTTATTCTCAAAGTAGAACTGCTGTAACTTAGACGACTCGAGCTGTTTGAGCACTGGAACATAGGAAGAGTTCAAGAATTTGTAATCCTCTACAGCCTTCACTTCAATATGGGCACCGCTGTAATCCCGTATCTTAAACATCACCTGCATAGCCCCTAGATTCATTTTATCAGTTACGACATGGAACACGTGCTTCCATGGCTCTTTTGTGTTCTTCACAGCCGAGTTTACCACAACAGAAGCAGCAATTACGTTGTCTGAGAAAATTGCGTAATGATAAAGCTTTGGGTCCTCGATCTCAGGCTTGGGGGGATTCTCTTCATCGTTGTACTTTTCGGGATGAGCGATTCTCTCTTCCATCAACCTCAAAGCCAAGCAATGCAAGCTCTTGGGAATCGACTTTGCAGCAATCAAGCTTGAGAAAGCGCCTTGCTTTTTGGATTTCGTTAACTGTTCGTTCAAAGCAAAGATTGTATCTTTCAACTTATGAATCTTCAACTGATTGTCGAAAGATTCTTTTGCCTCCGCAATCACTTGTCGAGTCAGCTTAATTCTTTCCTTCACCTCTTTCTCATACCGTCTCAGCACCGACTCGTCAACCGAACTCGAATCCGAATCGAACAGTGCTCGGTAAATTGGTTTCGAGACTAGATTGGTATAATTTTGAGAGAGATCCGCAAAAATCCTAACAAGCTTCGAGTTCTCGAGCTTGAGTTTCCGTGCATAAGAAGCATAAGCTAAAGCTAAACCTCTGTGGTCCTCTGCTTGTTTCCGGATCTGATCCAGCCGTGGCTTCAATGGATCTGATTTTAACGCCAAAATCGTTCTCCGGAGAGAACCCGATTCGGATCCAGAAGAACTATCAGAAAAACCCTAAAATTAAGGCGCAGAAAACCAAAATTAGAACATTTTTCACCTGAAGTAATCATTAATGTAAAAACATGTCGAGAAATTGACATCGAATTGCAAGTAAATTAAACTGATAAAAGACAATGCGATCTAATAAGTTACAAAACCTAACATAAATACATCATTAACTGTAAACGACATCAACGAAAACCACTTCAGATCATAATAATAGCAATAAATGTCTACATCAAAAAAACAAAAAAACCCTATAAAAATTCTTACTTCGAATAACAACAACTGCATTATAATTTATGCAGAAGAAATCAAATAAAAAACTCACGAATTTGAGATCTGCAGGACCGGAGGAGGCGGTGGATAGGAACGAGACAGCGATGAAAAGTGAAACGGCGATCGTCAGAAAACCGGCGAAGTATCTGAATCTGAACGGGTTACCGGAGACCCAATTCGACGCAGCATTTCTGTAGATCCGACCCGAATTCAGAGCCATTGCTTTTCTTCTCTCAAACACCGTGGAAGAAAGAGTGTGCGTGATCTAGTGAGAGTGGGGAGTCTGATTAGAGAGATTTTGCAGATTGGGGGAGAAAAGGTTTGAGGAGGTGGGATCCTGTGCGGCACAAATGTTTCAACATATTTTGCAACTGTGCGCTTTATCTGTGTTGTACCGTGAGAAAGTCTAAAGAAAGGGGTATACTTTTGTCTCAAAGGTACAAGTGTTTATTGCGTTTGGAGGAAACGCGGTTAATGACGGAGTGTGGGCCCCACTGGATGAAGCGTGAATTCAGCACCGGCAGTTAGCGCGTCGGTGGTTTTCGTTAATCTGTAGTAACTAGTAAATAATTAAATGTTTATTTATTTCTTTTTATAAGAACATATGTAATTAATGGGTTTTATATTTTAAAGATAGTAGTAATCATGTTTGAAAATTGGCAATAACTCACTAGTCCCCCATTCTTTTATTGCCACGGTAGTATCATTAAAAATTAAAATAACAAATATTAATTGAAATTAATAAGAAGAAGAAAAAAAATCTAATTGTTGTTATTTGTTAACGTCAAGTAACTTTGAATAAAAAAATAAAAATAAACTTTTTCATATGAAATAAATTTGAATTTAGAAATTCATAACGATGGTCTAGTTAGTGGAATAAAAAAAGTACACTGTATAACTTATTAATTATGATTTTTTTCATCAACTATTTCTATGTCGAACTTGTCCACAGAGTCTGTCTATTGCAAATTATATCTCTTGTGATTATGGGTTGCTCATCTTTTTTTTTTTTTTTTTTTTTATATAAGTGGGGTTGCTCATCTAGCCGGTAAACCGATTGAATCGAATCGAATCGAACCAAAATTCTATACATGCTGAATATCAAATTAAAAAAACTCAGTTTGATATTCATTAAAGATTTTTGGGTAAATTACAAATACCCCCCTGAGGTATGGTCAAATTACAAAAACACCCCTCTTGTTTGGATAATTACATCTACCCCCCTCAACTATGATTTTTTCTTAGACCTCCACCTTTATGGTACCAAATTCAACATAGTCAACTAGATTCCGTGAAATGTGCTCTAGTTTGTACTCTTTTTGTGTAAAAAATACAGTTTCCGATGCACCACAAACTAATATATACAAGCTAAAAATCACATATTATGATCATCTTGCTTCATAATGTAGAGTTTGAATATGATAAAACGGGTACAAAAGTGATAATATTCCATATAATCTCGAAGATTCCACTAAATTTGATGAGTTGAGGGGGTGGTTGTAATTATCCAAACAAGATGGGTGTTTTTGTAATTTGACCATACCTCAGGGGGGTGTTTGTAATTTACCCAAGATTTTTCGAAATTCCAGCATTCGGTGCAATATACATTGTTGATGTCCAATATGTCGTACTACACCGTACAAAATACAAAAATACTTTTATATATATATATATATATATATATATATATATATATATATATATATATATATATATATATATATCATAAATTCTTTAATATTATAACAAATTATAAAATATTTTTAGATCGGCAATTTTTTTCATTATTTACAAATTAATCTCTACTGATAATCACCATTTGCCTTTTGGGCCGATTAATGAAACATGAATGTCAAATTGAAGAATTAATTAGTTTATTATTATTTTTTTAATTTAAATATAAAGACATATTTCCGATTTTGTTGTTATCGAACCGAAAAAATCGTACCCAAACCGAATAGTTGGGTTCGATAAACAATACAATTTTCTGAGTATACGATATTACCGAACAAATACCCCTATTTGTGATTGCTTATTTATACATATCCGGTTGAGTTCTTTGTTAAAAAAAAAAATTGAATTCAAAAAACAAAATTCTTAAGAAAAAAAAGAAAAAAAGGTAGGAAAAGTAAACGGAGGGTAATTCGGTCCTTTCAAGACCGTCGACTATAAGTAGTAGCAGCACCACCACACGGTCCCCTTCTCCCTTATTCAACCATCAACACCTCTCTCTCTCTCTCTCTCTCTCTCTCTCTCTTCACTCTCTCTCTCTAAGTAGTTGTTGTTGTACTTCAAACCAACCAACCCCATTTACAGAAGTGGTTGATGCATGACTTCACCACAACTACTTGTTTCTCTATAATACACTACTTTCTCTCTCTAACCAACCTCTCTCATTGCACCACCTTAATTCCCTTTATTTATACTCTCCCACCCACAAAAATCTCTCACTCTCCCTTATTTTCTCTCTCTCTCTCTCTCTCTAGTTTGGATTCTTTCTCCTCGTTTTCCACGCACGGTATTTAGTATTCCTTGTCCTTTCTTTCTCTTTTCCATTTTTTTTTGTTTCCTGAAGTTTATTACCAGAAAACCCAACTGTTTTCTCTAAACTGTTTTTGTCTGTATCAGTTGACTTGTTTTCTAATCAAATGATTGATATCCATTGGTTTCTGTGTCATGAACGAGTTGGGTTTTTTTTTTTTTTTTAAATTGATTATCCATTTGTCTTGTTTTCTAGAGAGGTGTTCTTGATTGGATTTTGTATGTATTAAATGGGATTTTTTCTTTTTGTGTGTTCCTAATTTCTTGCTTCAATGAAAGGTGGTAGGTTGGTGGGGTTGACTTATTGTTTCTTGAATAAAATGTTGAATTTTGGGCGTATTTATTTTTTCGACGATTTTCGATATGTGGTTTGTCCAATTGAGAAGATTGGATTGGCTAGTTTATGATTTAACCGAAAATGGAATTTCTCGAAATAATTAAGTATGATCATGGCTGATTCTTGGTTCGGAGGAATTACTACATTAGCCAGTGGTTCGATTTTTCAGAAAGTTGTGTCGAATGTATATATATTGTATAGATGATTGTGTTCGAAAAGGCCGTAATGTGGTGATTATCTAACTCATTTTTCTGCCCTTTTGATATAGTTTAGTAAGAAGAGTGATGGTGAGCATTCGAAGGCGACGACTCCTAGGATTATGCTCAAGTATCCAAGGTATATATATATATATATATATAATGTGTGATGTGTGGAATTATGAATAATGATTTTTTTTTTCTGATTTTTCTACTTGTCTTTTCAAAACCAATAAAATTTGTAGGAAAAAATTCCGTATTGGATCCGGTTCCACGGGTTTTGGAGCATGGACACACTCCTCTGCCTTTGAACGATGATTACAAGCCAAAACATGTAAGCATTGTTCATTAAAGCTGTCTTATAGACAATGGTCTGGTCGATCGTTTTTTTATTTATTTAATTTATTTATTTATAAAATGATAAAATTTCGAATGTTGAGTGCACATTCTCTTACGGAGAAGTTATCTCTGCTTCTATTGGTAAATTAGATTGTGAGAATGACTGTTCACCGTTGAACTATATCCCTCGATTATATTATATATGTTTATTCAAGAAATGCCGTAAATGTTTCAAAGATTAGCGATACGTTTCTTGTTATTGTTCGTCTCCAAATTATAGAGTCGGACAGTTCTCGTGATTTCTATATAATTGATAAAAATGATTGATTTCATTTCCTTAATAGTTGACTTCAAATTGGAAGATATGATGCATTAGTATGTAAACTGAATTCATGTTCTATTTGTTGTCTGCACACATAAATAAATTTAAATCCGAGTTTTATTTTATTTTTTTCATTTTCACAAACTTATTAGGAAACCAGCTTGGAAAACGAACACGGTTCACCGGATTTATCTTCTTCAAGCCCATCTAAAGAGCACCCTTTTCGACAATTCCCTGGTTTGTTGTTCATATTCATATATTCCGGTTGAATATTTTTTAAAATTGAATTATCGGTCCTTTTTTGTCTTTTGACCTAATTCAAGAATCTCGTTATCTCAGAAGTCAAACGCAGAAAACGCCACAGGAGAAAGCAAGTTCAAAACCAAGAACCATGCACCATGCGAGGTGTCTATTACAAGAATCGTAAATGGCAAGCCGCAATTAAAGTTGATAGGAAACAGATTCATTTAGGAACTGTTAGCACCGAAGAAGAAGCCGCTCGATTATACGACAGGTATATTATATTAATAGAAACAATTGAATTTATTTACAATGTATAAAAAGTCATAAGCACTTTTCTCGTCTAATAAGAGTCGAATCACTTGAATTTAACTTCACATTTGACTTACATAATTAAAAGGAACACTTGCATAATTATAATTTGTTCCAATTACACTTTTATAAAAATAAAAAATTAAACGATACTATTTTTCGATAATTGAAGGGCTGCATTTATGTGCGGGAGGGAGCCGAACACTGTAATATCCGAGGAGGAAAAAGAGGAGCTGAGAAAGTACAAGTGGGACGAGTTTTTAGCGATGACACGCTCGTCGATTACCAACAAGAGTAAGGACTTCCTAAAAATATATTTACTTAGTACTACTTTGTCTGAATTATTTAGAGGTAATAAATTTTAATTTTGTAATTTATTTGAATCATCAGAAGTACAGAGGAGAACCGGTTCGGGTTCGCGGAGAAAATCTCAAAACGACGAGCATGGATACAGTGGTCTATCAGCTTCGGAAGATGACATATTTGCCCCTTGATCGATTTTTTGTTAATTCTTTTCGTATATAAGAAGAGCCCCTATTTGGGCAGATCACATGAAAATTTTCCCAGGAAAAGAAAATTATTATTATCATCATCTTTAATTTCTTTTTAAAATGTAATTTTAATTTTGTTTTATTTTTGGATTCGTGGTACTTGTGCATGACATATAACATATGATACTAATGAAATTCATTGTTTGAATGCATATTTTGACACTTTAACCGGGTTGAAATTTAATGATTTTTTTTTTTAATTTTCGATTTCGATCCAAAATTTCTGAAATCCAAAAATAATTTAAAAATCCTTTTTTTTTTAAAGTACAATTATAACATAAATATTATTATGTTATTATAAGCAAGTGTTTTTTGTCGATTCTCCGGTGATATTTTTCGATTTTGAAACAAGTGTTTTTATTTCAATTTCCGAAACTTCTTTTTTTCTTTTTCAGAACGGAATTTGAATAAGTTTTCGCTTTCGAAAAAAGATTAGAAGCATATACAGAAATGAAACACTCTAATCGAATTTTTTCGATTTTCATTCCTTTTGGTAACTCATTGTAACCCTAACTTACATAAAGTGATTGATTTTTATCGGCCGTGAAAATCAGACGGATCGGATCGGATCAAAATGAGCACCCTCCGAAAACAAAATAAATTTTGTAAGTGAAAAACTAAAATTCCATTAAAAATATCAGAAATTGGAATTCTGAAAATTAGAATTTAAACACTTGTTCCAAAATCGAAAATTTACGGATCAAAATCGACGAAATTCATAAAATTCCAATCATTAGTCACCTAAAATATAAAATGCATATTAATATTGATATTATAAGTGTAGTTTATGGGGAAAAAAAGAAAGGGTCTATTAGATATAACCCCCTTAAACATTCAAATAATAGGGGTAGACCCAAACTTAAATTTGCCATTTTGATAAAAACCCAAACTTTTCTAAATTACATAATTATCCTCAATCAAATCCCACAAATCCCATTACTTTACCTTTTGAAATAATATCAAATCTCTCCCTATTTTCCCGTTAAAACACTATCACCACAAACCCACTATCAAAAAAACTGCAAACACTCCCAAAACCAGAAATTTGCACGGCCGTGGATCGGCGATTTTTCTGCACTCCGACCAAGCCTCCGTAGGTACGTCGTTGCCACTCGCTGAATCGCTATCATCCATCGATTTGTTGATATGTTTTGGCTAAATCGACTATCACGTTTGTGTAATTGCAGATCTGTTATAATCGCATACCGAATTCGAGCACTAAATCAGTGATATTGCAACAATTGATGGGCAGGACATCCACCAGAAGTGATATCGTCGTTGGCCGCCGTCGCCGCCGCCGCCACTGCTCCAATCTAGGGTTACTCAAATCTAGGATTACTCAAATCTAGGGTTTTGATAATTCTTCGGCCCATAGTCGATTAAACGAGATGCATAGTCGAATTACATCTGTATTAATATACTATCCCATATCATTTAATAGAATATCCCAGTGGTATAATTAAATTAGGGATCTCATTAATTGCCTAAGGACCGAAGAATCATCAAAACCCTAGAATAATAATAATAATAATAATAATAATAATAATAATAATAATAATAATATATATGGAAACTAAATAATATGTTTGTTTGAAATACTAATCAATTAGGGTAATTTTCCTTATTATATGAAAACGATTAGGGTAAATAATAATATATATGAAAAAATAATAATATATATGGAAACTAAATAATATGTTTGTTTGAAATACTAATCAATTAGGGTAATTTTCCTTATATCATGTAATAGACTATCTTAGACTATGGATCTCGTTACTCGACTATGGATCCCGTATTATTCAACCACATAGTATATTAATAATTTCAATATACTACATTAATCTGCTATGATAGTATATTACGGTTATAGTAGTGATATGAAATTGTGTTACAAACAATATACCACTGAAATGACAAGAACATTGAGAACAAAACCAACATAAAATATTCCAACATAACCAATAAAATAGTACATTAATAATCTCATAATTTCAATCTAGGGTTTTGATAAAATACATAAAACACATCATAACACAATCAAACCAATATGTCGAGTTAAAAAACTCTAGTACATTAATAATCTCATAATAGTATAATAAAATGATAATGGTAGTATCATACGGTATTCATAATAGTATACTACTGTATTATGACGGTTTAACACTTAACCGAAGTTACCGAGCCATTACATCGTAAACACCTCTTTATAGCAACCAACCCACCAAACCTCAATAAAATCCGTACGAAATTCGCCATCGAAAAAACCTAAAATCATGAAACAAAATTAAAAATGCAGAATACTAAAAAATGATTAAATAGACTGCAAATACATTTGAATGACAATACATTAATATCATCAAAAATAAACTTAAAATACAAAATCCATACGCTAAATTAAAAAAGAATACTACGAAATATATTTTAATGTACTACCCAGCACACTAAAATCAGTTGTTATAAACAAATAAACCAACTATCGAACGGGATCAAACTCATGAACTCGACCACAGCGGACAGTTATTTCAATTATTGCATAAACTAACTACGAAGCTCATATTAAACAACTCTGGTCCGATATGCGTGAACCATCCTCTTCTAACTCTGTCAATCCTCTTCTAAACAAACATCACCCGCCAAAAATAACGATGTATATATGACGGAATAATTTTGTTAACAAAACGTTCTACTTAATAGAATCAAGTCCCAACACACCTCTTAAAAATGTCTAACCACCGTACACGACAATCCTGGACATTGGGCGAAAAATAAAAACGAAAAAAAACGCATTCATACCCGCTTAACAACGTCCACCAATGAAAGCTCAAATCCGATCCTATTTCCACGACGGTGCAGAAATCTTCAAAGACGATAAAAACCGCTGGAACGCTGAAGAGAATCTTCAAAAAATATTGTACACGATTTGATATAACGGCCAATGATCTCACGTAAATTTATTCCGTGATTTTAGGCAACGTATCAGCAAATCTCAAATCACGTAGTAAAGGAAATAAATTCCGTTTAAAAATAAAACAGGGGTATTAAAGGGAAATTATATAATATATTTTGCCAAGTTGGCAAAATTGGGTATATCTCAAAAAGGGAAAAAATAATTGGATCTACCTCATTAGAAAATATGAACAAGGGGGTTATTCCTAATAAACCCAAAAAGAAAAGAGAAAAACATAATCGTAATTTTCAAAAATTAAAATCCGATTGGAAATCATTATCTCATATACATTCCAATTCGATCCAAAAAAATTACAAAAAAAAAAAAAAATTGAAATTTGAATTTTCCGATCCGGAATGAGAAATATTATTCCAAAATGAGAAAATTTCGAATCAGAATGAACGAATTCGTAAATTTTATTCCAATTTACACGCCTAATTTTGATTAGGGTAAATTCACTTTCTCCCCTTATACTTTAGTTCGATATCACTTTACCCCTCTTCTACTCTCGATTGCATCGATTTGCCCCCATATACTTGAAAAGTTGTCTCAAATGTGGCTCTAGCCGTTAGTTTTCAGGTCTTTGACCTTAACACCGTTTGATCTAAGTCTGAAAATTACAAAAAAACCACCCTCCCAGTTTAAATAATTATTAAAAAAATATTATAAAAAAAAAAAAATTGGGACTAGCGTCGTGGATTACGTTTTCTCGTTGTTTGAATTTTTTATTATTTTATTTTTTGTTTTTTTTATTTTTTATTGTTTTTTAAATAATTATTTAAACTGGGAGATGTGGTGTTTTTGTAATTTCAGAGCTTAGATCAAACGGAGTTAAAGTCAAATGTCTGACAGCTAGCAGCAAGGGCAATATTGAGACAATTTTTCAAGTAGAGGTGGGCAAATCGATGAAATCAAAAGTATGAGGGGTTAAAGTGATACCAAGCCATAGTACAAGGGGGGAAAGTTGAATTTACCCTTTTGATTACTCTTGCAAATTAACCAACTCCAATAAAGCCTAATTAGCTACTACCTTCAGTCTCTCATCTGCTGAATCATCGCCACCGTCAACCGCCACCTGAACAACCGTCAACCACCGCCTTCAAACAGATGGCTTCAGATGAGAAAACTCAAGATCAATTAAACCCTCCCTCTCCTTCTTCTTCATCAGACCCATGGAAAGAGCGCATTCTCATCCCCACTTTACTCGCAGGTTTGCCTTTACCTTTTTTTTTTTTCCATTTCAGTCTTCGTTTTTTTTTTCAATTAGCCAAAGAAACACCTCGATTTTGTAGGGGATTTTTTCTCTCCGTGTCAAATTCCTCTGATCGGGGATTCAAAATATGCAAGTTTTAAATTTCTTGTTCCCTGAATTTTTGTTTTTCCCCAAATTGTAAATTTAGGGATTGCTGGTGGAGCTGTTGGGTTAATTTCAAAGCATAGAAAAGTGCAGGGGCTTTCAAAAATAGCAGCTACTTATGCATTTAATTCTGCTGTCGTCGCAGGCTGCTACTGCGGTAAGTTTATTCTTCTCTCTCTTTTTTTCTTTTTTTTTTCTTTTTTTAAATTTTACAGTGTTACATTCATGATAATAAGAGCTAACAATACGAATATAAGTTTGAAATTTGAACTGTGATACCAATTGTTTTTAGAAACTTGGTGTTTAGTTTGGAGAAATGCCTTTATATGCATCCTGATATACAAATTGTATATTTTCGTTTTTTATTTTATGTATCCAATGGTGTGGTTTTAGTTGCATTTATACTGATTATATAATTCATTATGCACCTGATATTTATATGTTTGGATTGCATACAGAAAGTTGAATGTGATAATACGGCATCTTTATGCTGTTTTCGTTATGATCTGATGACTCCTTGTTTGGATCATCATTTGTCGTGCTGTATGTGTGGCTTGTTTAATAATCATGTACTTCTATTATACGGTTCTCATTTGCATTTTTTAATACAATTCCCTACATACTTCTATGAAGTTGTTAAAATTAGTATAGTGTGGATACTCGATAGCGCATGTTCACTTGCCTTTGAGTATATGTTTTTCTTTTTGTCTTAGGCAGTGCGTATTATGCTATCCGTTCATCTTACCCCCTTCCTATTTTTGGTTTATTATGCAATCATTGTTAAACAAAATACACAAGTCGTGATAATATTATCATAAAACGAGGAAATGATTAAATCATACGGTATTTATCTTTCCATTTCGATCACAATTAACTTTTGGGTTTTGTGATAACTTTTTAGTTTCTATGATAGTGACAACTGGTCTGCCATCTGATAGCTGGGAAGCCTTTCTATTTGTTTATTTTTTAATCTGGTTATAGTGATATGATATCAAACGATAAAAATAAAGATTCAAATATTAACTTATATCTATACATCTCATTTGATTTCCTTGTCTATTTAAATTAGATCAATGATGTGTCAATTAAACTGCAGTTTGAAATATTAGGAGATCTCTCAGCGCACTAGCATCTTATAGTAAGATGAGACACTAAGCACATTCTAACCTGGTTCAGTAACAAAATTCATTATTCTTTACCATTTTCCTCTTCTTACGAGCATATGAATAGAATAAAGGTTCCTTGCAATCCAATTTACGTCCTTTTGCAATCTAGCCCAACTTTAGATGCTCAAAATGATTGAGTGCGAATAGAACATGTTATATGAATGTCTGCCAAAAGGCCGTTTCTTTAACTGTGCGTCGTCAATCAAAATACATGCTGAGCTCATTGAATGAACAGGTGCTCGTGAATTCTCGAGGGTGACTAGAACTGGACAGCCAGATGACTTGTTCAACTCCGTGCTTGGAGGTTTTGCTAGCGGGACCATTCTCGGACGCCTTCAAGGTTAGAACTGCAAATTCTTTCTGTTTATATCTGCACAAAATATGTATTTGTTCGACTTGGTTGTTTACAGTATATCTATTTTTGGACTTTATATATATATATATATATATATATATATATATATATAAACAGTCTTCTCTAAAAAAAAGCTACTGTAGTAGCTGGACCTGGATTCGTAAAAGAAAGCATTGCCTTAGTTTCTTTTGCTTATTGATTCAACAAGAATAATTACCCTTTTGTTTAATGTGATACATTAGGCGGTCGAGCTGGCGCAGTTCGTTATTCATTTATATTTGCTGCTGTTGGGACAGCAGTTGATTATGCTACACTAGAGTTAAAACCTGTCATAACCGACTTCTTCACGGAGATGAAAAACGAAGATTGGTTTAAAGTACCTGAATGGTCTCCCATTCGTGTACTTGATGAAGAAGCTGTTGCTGCAAAAAAAGCTCAAGAAGAACAAATCTTTCGTAGAGTCCATAATCTCAACAAGGAAGACTCCTCATAACATCCTCTTTTTTTTTTTTTTTTTTTTTTTTTACAGGGCTTCAGTTTCAACTCTTATATGTAATTCATAGTTCTGTGAGGTTTGCGATAAAATATCTATTTTGTGATTGAATTCATCTATACTCTGGACAGCGGTATTTTCATTGCTGTTAAAATGATAATAAAGCTCTCGAAGAGTGTTGATGACCTCAGCGAGTGGGGTCCTTTTGCAGACAGAGGGGGTTCGAGCAAAGATCAAACTAACGGACTTCTTGATCTGCATCTCTTAGAAGGTTTTGGACCGATTTTTGTACTGGGATTTTTCATCCACTTAGAAATCGATTTTCTATGAATGTCCACTTCAAGTGGTGGTCTCGCAAATGTTACATCGAATTTTCGGACTTAAAATGTGTATAGCTAACCAGCTTTTGATCATACTTTGGGCTTGTTCCTTTTTTTTATTGAATTTTGAATGATAGATTGTTGTTATTTTTAATTTTGCCTTTGTATATTACCCTCCTTAGCATTGACAATTGATATTGCTCTAACATTTCAATACTGATGAAGTTGATCTTATGGCATGTTCAAAAATTATTACTCTGCTAAAAGATAGTGCTATCCGGGCGTACAAGGTGCGATTCACCTATGATCGACTTGCACGCTATTACATAAGAGCAAGCTCTAGCTAGTGCACATGTATACTTGCAAAAAACGAAAAAAACCAACATGTTCGAATGCATCCGCTGCAATAAATTATAAACGTAAACACTACACCTGGAAAAAACCGGTGATCAGACACCATCTACAACGAATACCAACAGGAACTCAGATGAAAAAATAAACAGTTGTTATATGTGCAAGACAAGACAAGACAAAGCCTTCTGAGAATACAAAACAAGATCCAAAGCACGGACATGAACTTTCTTCGAATCAAAGCTCCCATAATACAAAATTCGCATAGTAATTGATCTTATAATGGTCTAGATAATTTACATGTTACACACATCTGTGGATGCTTAAAAGTTTTCACGATAGAAGTGAGACAAGAGAGACGAACTCCTGTGCAACCCTTCCCTTGGATCTTGTGTTGATAACAAAGTGCTCCGGATATTTCCTTAACAACGTAAGCATTCCATGCCATGGTTTTGCATTTGCTTCTGGGCTAGAATAATCCTCAGATGTCAGATATCTCCTTACACGACTATGGTGCCATATATTGCCGAATTGTTCCACCAACTGCACAAACAAATCGTTGAAGAACGGTAAAAATCTGAAGTCTAAATCATGCATGATCAAAAAGAAAGAATTACATATGATGTACTTGTTATGGTGCTCACATCTTGTCAACTAGTAAAACCAGAAAAAAACTTACTCCCATGCTAAGAAGGTTCGCATAAAGAGATTTAATTGGAATAAATCTACAAAAACAGCTACCAATACTAAACTGGAGAACCTAGTCACTTTAGACAGAGCCAAGCTAACGAAAAATACAAGGTTAAAATGGTAAAATGCGATGAAGGGTATTCCTCTTTCTATAAAGGAAAGAAACCCATTATATGCTAGCAGTTGACTAATAGTTGCAGAATTATAGAAAGGCCATTCACCAGATGCTGGGACTGGTATCAATACAGCAGTACTTACATCTTCAGTAAGGGAGTAAACTGTCATTCCCGAACTTGATTAAATGACGGTAAGAAAAGATAAAGAATACTGTAAATGTCGAACAAAAAAGAACAACATGCAGTCTAAACAATCTGACATAGTACAGTAAGTTTTGGTTGCGATGTAAGTCGTAAAATATGCTAAGTTCCTAAAGATAAAGGCTTTCTGACAGAAAAACATCAGTATCTCACTTCATCCCCACCTTCAGTTATTCCCATACCACCAACAGTTACCCACCCAACTGGTTTCGTGATGTAATTATAAACACTTTTGTAAATAAGTACGAATGTGTGAGAACGCCACTTCATTGGCCAAATGGCACATTAAATATGTAATCAATGTCAATTTCATATTTTCTACCAATGCAGAAAGAAGTGAGCATGTTGAATGTCATTTCTTTGGCCAAAGTTCTCGTACTGTTTATATGGGAAAAGTTACCTCAGAGTGAAGTTTCTCCATCGGCATCCATTCTCCAGGACCGCATAAATCAGACAGGACTGTTGCTACTGATGACACAACATCCTTTTCCTCTAACTGAAGAAGCTGCTGGTTGTCAGCTTCTCTGTCAACACGATTTCTTCCATCAACCTTTTTATCTGCAAGAAATCAGATCAAAACCAGTAGAATAGCTGAAGAGATCAAACACAAAAGATTCATCGGAAATAAGTCAACACATGTAAACCGAACTGTAAAATATTTGCAACTGACCAAAATAAGTTAACCATGTAAAGCTTTAAAGAGTGGAAGAACAATGATTGAAAATCAACGATCTATGAAATACACAAGGTTTTGTTCAATCATTTATCCAATTTAATAAACCATGTGAACTACAACTAACCATGGTTAGCTTGTTCACTCATGTGTAACCTATCACCAACATATGTACCACAAGATGACTATCGAGTATCAAGCACACGAACTAAACATGGATAACAAGCTTGAAACATTCGAAGGATTATATAATCATATATAATTAGGAATCAAACCATGAAAAGATTAATTCTATTTAACGCACCGAATTGCCCTGAGGACCCTGCTTTGCCACCAGAACCATACCCAAAAACACCGCTCACCGGACCCTCGACACCATCAACCCGTCTCATTCTCTTCCCTCCCGACAAAGCATCTTCCCCACCGCCACCGCCACCACCACCATCCTCCTCATTATACTCATCCTCAATATACTCTCCCCTCCCCCTTCCCTTCCTCCCATACCCCGGCCCTCCGCTACTAATGGGTGGATTCAACCCCAAATGATGCATCTGCTGGCTCTGACCAGCAAGATGGTGCTGGTGGTGCGCCGGAGTTCCGCCGACCGGGAAATTAACCGCGTGATGCCTCGGAACAACGGGCCCACCGAGAATGCTCCGAACGGGCAACAGAAAGTAGAATTCTTTGTCTCCAATTTGTAAGAGATCCTGAGAATCGAGCTTGACGGGGGGGTTGCCTGGGAGGTGGAGGACGCCCTCGACGAAGCAGCCGTTCTTTCCGAGGACCTCGAGGGCGAAGCGGCGGCGCTGGAAGTCGTAGAAGATGCGGGCGTGGTGGCGGCTGATGTTCATTCCGCCGCCGAGGGAGGAGAGGTCGACGTCGACGGAGGATTTCTTGGAGTTGCGGCCGAGGATGATTGAGTAGGTCTGCATGTAGTACTCGAAGTCTTCGCCTTGCAGCTTCGCGAACCCTGCCTCGACATCGCTGCCAGCGCTACTCCCCATTGAGAAATTAGGGTTTTCAGAGTGTCAATTGGGGACGAGATAGAATTGAGATTGGGAATATAATTTCTCAAATTTGGGGGTTTTGGGTTTCTACTTTTTAGGGGGGTGGGATGCAAATTACACGAACTTATTAATTTGTTTAACAATTCTTGAGTTTTATTTATTTTAAAATAATTAAAAATTGAAATTTTAATTAACTGGAGACATTATTTCTTTTTTTTTAACTATTTTTATTTGTTTCAATTTTGAAACAATTTATGAAAATTTAAGAAATGGACAAAATTAACTAGAAAAAATATAGATTAACTACCAAATTGCTTAACTTTCGACAAAAAAAAAAAAAAAAATAGTATGAAAGGACAAAAAAAACTACTGATGTCTACCCTCGACTCGCGACTCTCACGATTCCGTCGGTCCATCTCCCCGATGCGATGTCTCGGAAATGTCATCAAATATATGTCTTCGTCAGGTGTGAAATGATAAATCAATAAGAAATGGACCAAATACAGTATTTGAATATAAAATCCGGTTCTTTGTTTGTCAATCGTTTATTCGAAAATGACGAAGATATTAATATTTTCGACTTAATTCGTTGTTTAGACATCGGACAAACTAATATATATATATATATATATATATATATATATATATATATATATATATATATATATATATATATATATATGTATGAGCAAATTATCAAGGAACTACCTATTTATTAATTGAAGGTGAAATCGGAGAGAAAGTGACGAATGAAAACGGCCGGGAGATGCCATTGAAGGAGACCATGTAGAGGCGGAGAAAGAAGAAAAAGATGAGGAAGAACAACTTTTTTTTTTTTGTTAACGTGTTAATCCGCAAAAAATGACAGTTTATGTGGTTTAATGTTATTTACCCGAAGAGGAATGCCTATCAAAGACACTAACCGGATACAGTGTGCATAACGAAAATACCTTTCTACAAAGACTCGATTATCTCGATGCATTAACAATATTCGGCAATCCAAATATTTAAAGTTAGTGATTAAACAGTACTCCTACAAAACCGAAACCATCGATTTGTTTGCTTTAGCCAATGTACTTTACAGAAAATGAAAAATGCATTTTAGTATAACAAATCCCCGAATTATTTTCTTAACTCTTCATATGATTTGTTAATCATTCGATGTTTCTCTTCCAATAAATGGAGCCGTTTTTCATTCATCCATATTTGAACCGAATAGAGAAACCGTCACAAGGACTCGATGCGACTTACATAAGAAAAGGTTGCGCGAGTTTTAATAATACAATTAGATTGGTGGACATGATTTTTGACGAATACACGAATCGGAGATCATAGTATTCCACAAAATGTTTCACAAAACATTATCCGAAGCAAAAACGCATGCATATAAATTGAAGGGTAATTGGCACTTTGCCCCCCAAACTATAGTGGCTTTTGTACTTTACCTCCTGGACTAATTATTTTTACAAAATTTCCCCTCAACTCATGAAATGCTTGCACGGTGCCTTAAATTGGCAAATTCTGGTCTATTTTCGCCGGAATCACCCGCACGTGAGCTGCACGTGAGATTTAGGAGGACACAATTGTCAATTCTATCACAAATAAACCTAGCCCATTTTTCACCCTTGTACTTTCCCCTCTTTTTTACAGAACACAATTTTCCCCTTTCACATTTTATAGTCTTTTGTTTGCGCAATTTCTTCTTCTATAATCTGCATGATTTTTATCATTTTGAGAATTGTGAGATGGTGTGGAAATTAAGGGAGGGTGATGCTGCTCCTGATTATGGTAAGATTTATATTATTTTAGTACATGTCAGTTTAGTTATTTTTCTTTATTTTTTATTTTTGTTCTCAATGTTCAAATGTCGTATTCTTTAAATTAAAAATGTGTTCTTTAAGTGGAAAACAACAGCCTTTACTGATTTATGTTTAAAATATGGAGCACATATTTCTTCAATGTCAATTTTATTCATAGAAACACCTTGATAAGCTTATCAAATATGCATCTTCACTTATATGTTTATTTTTTGATTTTTTTTTTTCTGAATGAAATGCAGGCTCTAATTGTGATTTTTTTCACCATCAAAATGCACCATTCCGGAAACATTAATTATTTTGATTATTGCAATGAAGACGAGATATCTATGATTGAGATAATTGAAATGGCCAAAGAGTTGGGATTGAATGGTACAGTTAACTTCTTCCATAATATGGGTGGTGGGATAAATGACTGTAACAATGTAGCAATAATGAAACATGACATCGATGCAATGGCTTTAGTCAACTTTATTGATGGTGAAAGAGTAGCTGAAATATATGTACAACATGAAGCATTAAGTGAAGATAAATCCGAGAATGGGAAAAATGAAACAACAGGTGGCTCTTTTCCGCAGGTGGATGAACCAGTGGGGTATATTGGTGATGATGAACAACTTGATGAACCAGTGGGGTATATTGGAATGGAAGCAACCAGTTTGAATTGGAAAGTTGCTACGGGGACAGGTTTAAGGTGAATTTGGAACATAGGGTCTGTAGTTGTAGGAGATGGCAGCTCTCTGGTATCCCTTGTGCTCATGCAATTTCTGGAATGTTTTTCATGGGATACACTCCTGAAGATTATGTGGAGGATTGTTACAAGAAAGAGACTTATATGAGAGTGTATAGCTACTTGATGGACACCATGGAAGGCAATGATGCTTGGCCGCATTCTGAAAAACAGAAGTTGCTACCTCCTGAGATTGAAAAAATGCCTGGAAGGCCAAAACTTCATGGTAGAAAAAAACAGCCTGGTGAAGGATCAACCAAAGAAATACCAGCACAAGTTGGCAGGACAATCACAAAGATTGGCAAATTGGGAAGACAGGGAGTGGTCATGTCATGCAGTGTTTGTCACCAAAAAAATCACAATGCCCTTGGTTGTCCATTGAAGAATCCTACTGGAATTGAGAAACCAAAAAGAAAGGTAAGCTTTTTACTTTATATATTATTTCAGTTATAGGTCATTTTCTTTATTCTAATTGTATTTTCATTTAAATTCCTAGAGAAAAACATCAAGAATGGCTGAGAAGGATCCATTGAGGGCTGAGAATGAGCCATTGAGGGCGGAGTATGAATCATTACTGAATTTTGTAAGTTTGCCATGTTGTTATTTTGGCAGTTTATAAGCTTAAATGCTAATGCATTTTTTTAACAGGTTGATCAGGAGATAACTGAGACAACTATGAATGTGGAAGTGGAGAAAAGCTCCAAAAGAAAATCCAAGTTGCAAGTAATTAGGAAAGAAAAGAGATAAGTGAAAATGGAAAATGTTGCAAGAAGAATGACACTGGCTGTTAATATGCAGTGGGAAATCTTCATTTTTTTATAATGTGCACACTTTTTGGATGACTTTGTTTTGTATTAAAATTTGGATGATTATATTTTGTAAGCCTTTTATGGTTCTGCATAACTGAAGTACTTTTTTGTTGGTCAGAATTTGTGCAAGTTGCATTATTTTTTGGTATTATGATAACCTTAGTATAGATTGTGCAAGTTGGATGTAATATGTTTTACTTTGTTACAGATTATGCAAGTTGCATTATGTTTTGACAATATATTATACTACCTTACTGCGTACATTTTTTTTCTTTATATTTTTTAAGAATTGTTAGTCTAAGTTGGAGAAAGTGTGCATTCATAGAATAGTAATTTTTTTTCTTCTTGTTGTTAAAGTTGTTCTGTGAGTAGTATAATTTTGTATTTTGAAGATAAGTTTATAAGAACAACAAATTACATCCAAAATTAAAACACACACTACTGTAATAATAAATCAACAAATTATATCCAAAATTTAAACACACACTACTGTAACATAATTTGTTGTTTAACATTACATCAAATTACATTACAACATAGCCAATAAAAACATAAATTTCATTACTTACATTACAACAGAGAAATTAAAGCATTAGAACACAAAATTAATTAAACCACAATTTTCCACTTCCTACTACAATTACACATAATTAGATACATCATTCTGCCACCAACATTATGCAAAATTATCTTCTTCCTTCACATAATAAAATACAGCACACACCATGAAGCTACAAACACCATCCACATCCATTTTTCTCTCAAACTTTTCTTCTTCAGCTCCTCCTCATGTTTGTTGATCTTGCGAAGTAAACCGGGTATAATCATGCGCGATCTTTCACACATTGGAGGGTCAATCCATACAAAGTAATTGCAACCTCCAACTTCCTACAAATTTTGAACATAAAATAGAGAACTTTTTTAAGGTGTTAAGAATCTACATAAACCAAGGTATATACACGAAAATTACCCTGTACTTCGGACAAGTGGAGTATCTTCTTCCTGGATTCAAATCTGTCCATGAAGTTCTTGAAATTGGCTTCCTTGAACAATTGCAACTCACGTCCATTTCGAGCAAGAAAATAACAAAATAGAGATAAAGCTGAATGAAAAAAAGGGGGTAAAAGAACAAGGAAATAAGGAGTTTAGGTTACATTGGTGCAAAGTATTTTATAGCAGGGGAATGAAAATAAAAGGAGGGAAAATCTCAGTAAAAAACGAGGGAAAATTGTTGTGAAAAGGAGGGCTAGGTTTATTTGTGATAGAATTGACAATTGTGTCCTCCTAAATCTCACGTGCAGCTCACGTGCGGGTGATTCCGGCGAAAATAGACCAGAAATTGCCAATTTAAGGCACCGTGCAAGCGTTTCATGAGTTGAGGGGAAATTTTGTAAAAATAATTAGTCCAGGGGGTAAAGTGCAAAAGCCACTATAGTTTGGGGGGCAAAGTGCCAATTACCCTAAATTAAAAATATCTTATTGCACTGAATTTAGATCCTACAAAAAGCATACGAAACATCAGCCTTCCGATACATGAAACATTAAATACTAGGCTTAATTCCATTTTGCACACCCTTAAAATACAGTTTTTTGGCAGCAACTTCAAGACACAATAAATTATGTTTTACGCATCCCAAATGAATGTTAAAGCTAATGAAAATAATTTAATATTTTTAGTGGTTATTTTTTAGGATGTCAAATGTAAAATATTTTTTTTATATTCGTCAGTCTTTTTGAAACAACTAAGTGCAAAAAAGTACATCTCAAAATAGTTTACAAAACAAAAAGTAAAAATCATTCAGCTAGTTTGTCATCGAGTTATTTGAAAATTATATTTTCTTTGAAAGTTGTCTACCAAATATTTTCACTAAAAGTAAAAGATCCATGAATTAAATGATTTAGTGAGAAATGTCTTTTTTTTCAGTAATTCGTTGTGATTTTATTTTTATTTTTAATATGTTCTTTTTGCATTTTATAAGCTCGAATTTATGTCGGAGATTGAAGAAAATAACAATTTAATTTATTATTTTACACTCGGAAATAAAGAACCAAAAAAAAATTAAAATTACCCTCACTAAGTTTTAAATATTCAATTTATGGTGTATTGTGAATGACTTATTGTGTTTTGATGGTGCAAAGTGCTATTAATTATTTTGGAGGGTGCAAAGTGCTAAAATGCTATATTTTAAGGGTGCAAAGTGGAATTAAGCCTAATTATGATAGTGGTTATGCTCCTTAGGTAGGTAAAAGTTTGACATTTCCTTGATTTATGATTAACTATGACAGCAATTATTTTGTTCCTAAAAACTGATAGAAAAAACTAAGACTACAGTTGTAATGATTTTCTGATGTCTGAAGAACAAAATCTAGAAGAGAAAAAAATTTGATTGTCTCAGTATTTTATGATTCTTGATTCTTGAATGAACGGAGCTGCCAAATCGAGTTTCGTTCCAGTTGGTTTCGGTTCATAGTTACATAGTTACATAGTTTAAGGCATATAGAAAATTGCCTCGTTTCGGACCAAAAACTTACGGTGAAACTCTTCATGCCGAGCTTATGTACTTTTTCAGAAAATTAGAAATGCATTTTAGTCACAAAATCATGGAATTGTTTTATGATTTTGTTAATTAGTCTCTGTTTCTCTTCCAATAAACGAAAGCCGTTTTCATTTATCCATTTTGAACCGAAGAGAACCCGTCACAAGTAAGACACAATGGAAACCTACACATGAAAAGTTTCCGCGAGTTTTATTACAATTAAATTGGTGGAGATGAGTTTTGACGAATGCAGGATCGAAGATCATAGTATTCCACAAAACATTAATTAAGCGAAGCAAAAACACATTCATTAAATAAATTAAAAAATCTATAATGTTGGAAATATTAATATTAAATGATACAGATCACGCATATAATTGTAAACACTTTCGCTTCATCTTTCCTCTTTCCTCTTAGGTCTCGGTTTCTCAACCGGGGAATACCAGACTTTCTGTATACGGAATTGGAAGTCGGACACGGTCAAAAGGTTGCGCGTCACCTTCAAATTCTTCAAACCTCTTTTCACAAGGGATGTAGGCGAGTAATTTGTCACGACGCCTATCTTGAATTACGATCTTATCCTCGACGAAACATAGTGGTTGAAAATTCCAAATACGCATGCACACATTCTCAACGGTCATCAACTCGTTCCAGGAATTATTGTCTATGCCCTTTTCCTTTGTCCAAAAATCAACCGTGTGCTCGTCTCTGCCTTTGCAGTACATGCACAACGAGCCCCTCAAACCAACCAAGTAAATAGTTTCGTTGTCGTCGACATTTTCCGGCTTCTGCAAAATCTTCAACTTGTCGTCTCTCGGATCGTGATAAACTATATGTGACGTGTTCCTCCAAACCCAATAGCTAACCCCATCGACGCAGACTTCGGGGAAACTACGATAGCAGGACGATGGACCGGTGCGCGGAGGAGTTTCGTGTTCTTTGTTAAATATCATCCAGGATTTGTTATTACAAGAATAAACTGAGTAGCTGTCGCGCCAACCAACAACAACCACCTTGAAATCGCCGGTGGTTGGATCGCGACTAAGCCCGTAAGACGCTTCGATGCGGCGACGCGGGTGACAGAGCTCCGTGCGTGTTCGAGTGGACGGATTCCACAACGTGAATCGCCTGTACGTATCGCAGCCCGTCGCGAGTAGTATCACTCCGTCGCAAGAACACACGTAGTCCTCCCATCGGTAGCTGCACTCGAATACTTGTAGAGTTTGGAGTTTTCGATCTTCCAATTTAACCACCGAGTATAGGTTAGAATAACTCAATGTGTAATAATCATGACATAGAAAAAGGTTGTCCGAGCTCGACTTCTTCGATTGATTGTGATGGTTTCGGACGAATATAGGATCGGAGATGAGAGTATTCCATGATTTCGAAACTGATTTGAATCGAAGAAGAGGTTTAACGGATGATCTCAAGAGGATATTTTCGATGATTTCCGGTGGAAGATATGATGTACATGTATTAGGAGCCATGGTTCCCCGGAGTTTGTACGGCGGCGCGTGCGTTTGAGATCTGTATTGGTTTGCAACCGTGTGTTGATTGTTAATGATTCTGCGAGAAGTTGTTTGGAATTTGGCTTCCTCGCAATTACAAAGATTATTATTAATAATAATAATAATAATAATAATAATAATAATAATAATAATAAACCCCATGTGGTTACAAGCTTTTACCAGATTACTCTCTTGTGCTCGTAACATCACCCGTACACATAAACCCGATTCGGTTAGTTTTTCCATCAAATTTCAAAGCCCTGTTGCTTAGAGGTAGATTCGGTTAGTTTTTCCATCAAATTTCAAAGTTTTCTTTGCAGATAATTACGTGCTTACAGCAAAATTATTGTTTGAAACAGTAATATTAAAAGCCATAACAATAATATTACTAATATTACTATCCCAAACAGTAATAGTACTGCATGATATTGTAATATTACGGTCGGAGACAACGAAATTGCAGGCCAAGACAATAAAATTAATTAAAATCGTAAAATTACTGTCTCATACAGTAATATTACTGTGTCAGACTGTTAAATTACAGTCTTCTACAGTAATATTACAATATTGCAGGCCAAGAAAGTAATATTAACGAAAATAATTTTTTGAGGGAAAAATAAGGTTTTCAAAAGAAAAAGAAAAAAAAAAATCAAAGCGGTCAACGACGGCTGACCGACGGTCTCCAATGGTGGCCGTCAAAATTGGTTACTTTGTGAAATTAGACTAAATTGAGGTGTAAATCACAAAATTTGAGTGAAATTAGAGTTTGAAGTAATTTTGATAAATATCTTTTTTTGGCTTATTTGCAAATAATGAACTGAATTTATTTACAAAATAAAAAAGTTAGGATACGTATTTGTAATTTACCATTAAATAAAGAAGTTGAAACAGAAAGAAACAAACACTGGAAAAAAAAAAAAAAAAAAAAAAAAGCACTTATCTTTGTCCCAGATCTGCAGATTTTACTTGTGGTCTCAACTCTGGAGTCAATCTACCACTGCACAACCACCCCCACCCCCACCCCCACCCCACAAAAGTCCAAATCATAACTCCTTTTGTTCACATCAAAAATGACAGTTTTG